TTCGAAATCCATCAGCTTGAAAGAATCTCTATCAGAATGGGCCTGAAATTCATCTTTTTTGTACTGTTCTTTCAAGTACATTTGAATATTTACCTCACATATTGCGGATTTCTTGAAATTAACTTCCCATTCTGGACGTTTCATAGCATTCTTCCATGACATTATCTTTAAAGGATCATTCGGAAAATTGAATATCTTGAATCCCTTCTCTAATGAATTATCGCAATAAGGTATACGCAGCAGGACATTGAAATAATTTAAAATGCTGAATTTTGGCTGTCATAAAATTTCAATGACAGTGACAGATATTCGAAATAATTAAAAAAGCGGGTGGGCGACTATGGTGTTTCGTCACATTGTCAGGTGGGCAAACTAAATGAAGCAAAATGTTAAAAACCCCAACGGCTGTCAGTTTTGTGTCCGGACTCTTGTCTAAGGCATATACAGGGACTCTAATTCTGAATAGTATCAGTTTGGAATAGTCAAATATATAATTCAAGAAAATAACGAATGGGTTGAACTGTAAAAAATTCAAAATTGTTGTACTTACCTCCTTTTTGAACTTCTCGTGCCTTAAATACTGTTGAAGCAAAACCATGCAAACAGACAAACTCTCATCGGTCTCCTAAAATGAAATTTCTATTAGCTTTACTCAAGATCGGAATACAAGTGTGTCTCTTACTTTTAATTTTTCCAGAAGAACAGAAAGCTTCTTCTCGAGTTCCGCCATTTCTCTGTAGGTTTGTGTCGCGTGTCATTTGTTCCTTGTTATCGATTGTTTCCCAAATGAGAACAAAATTCATAACCGCGACATGCGATGCCAAAATGCCATCATCGCGAGCAGAGAAAAAAGTTATGAAGTTTCGTTAAATTGCACACGATAGTAAGAGAATATTTACAGTGTGTTTCAATTTGTTTCACTACACAACTCTGTGTTTTTCAGTAAATCTTGGGTAATTCGAATTTTTTCAAGTGATACAGTAATACCTACTAACTGAGAACTGAGATTACTTATATTCTGAAAAAAATGTAAAGTATCGCTCAAAAAATATTTTGTATTCCTACAAGTACAGGGTGAATCACCATAAATGTCCCCCCCTCTAGCTCACTTATTTTTGAACCGATTTGAAAATTTGAAAAATTATCTAGAATGATTTTTCAGAATTTTTTTCCTGTCGCATCAAAAAATACAGGGTTCTCGGAACAACGATCTACAGAGTACTACTCGATTTTTTCAAATGGAACACCCTGTATTTCATTGTATTTTTAGATTTTCCCTGAAGAGCTGATTTCATCAATGCATCACACTTGGGCTCTAGCGGAAATGATTACAGAGATATAGGGTGTGAAAAATGGACATTTTTCAACTTTAGGAATTTTTTTTGTCGAAACTATTCATTATTGGTCGATATAGTCGAATAGTTTCGTCACAGAGAAATCCTAAAGTTGAAAAATCTCGATTTTGAACACCCTATATCTCTGTAATCATTGCCGCTAGACCCCAAGTGTGATGCATTGATGAAATCAGCTCTTCAGGGAGAATATGAAAATACAATAAAATACAGGGTGTTCCATTTGAAAAATTCAAGTAGTCCTCTGTAGATCGTTTGTTCCGAGCACCTTGTATTTTCTGATGCAACGGGAAAAAAATTTCTGAAAAATCATTTTAGATGATTTTTCAAATTTTTGAATCGGTTCATAAATAAGTGAGCTAGAGGGGGGGACATTTATGGTGAATCACCCTGTACCTAACTTTTCCGCACGATTTTATATAGCTGGATATTTTTTGTTGTTTTGTCAGAACAGATCGAGTGCATAATCACCTACATAAAAGTATGAGATAACCACCGTAAAAAATATCCTGTTAGATCTGAGCTCGACTGGTACTTCGTGAGATATTTTCATGAATGTATAGAAAACTCAATTCAATTAAACTTTATTCAACGAACTAAAAGAACAATATAAATAGACTATACACCATCGCAGCCATTGTTGGGCCACCCTGACATGTTTTGGAAAAAACTGCTCGTATTATTCAATACCCTGAGTTAAATCACCACTAATTGATTTTTCTTCTTCAAAGTAGTATCAGCTCGCCATGCTAATTCATACACCGATATGAAAAAATCTTTTCAAAAAACTTATATGGGACAATCTCCATCCCATATCGATGACATTTTAACAATTTCACGTCTAGGTAAAGCTACAAAAATATTCTTTCGCTTAGATTTACGTGCATCACGGGACTCCTCGAACGCCAAATCAGTGAAGGGTTGAAAGTAACATTCAATTTTTCGAAATACGACATGCTTTGCAACATCTTCGCTGTTGTGTTTTACATTGAATTCATCACGTATTGACGTATTCTTTATAATCTTTCCCATTCTGTTTCTTCATATTGAAGCCCCAGTTCAACAATATTCCTGAGACATTTTCCACTGACTGTTCGGTTTCAAATTTCGCTGAATTAATTAGTTCTAAATAGAGGAAATTACTTCTTTTCGTATTACCTGGAGTCGACTTTTCAATCTCCGCTACTATTTCTGCCTGGCAAATATTTCCAAATCTCCGCATACTTACTGAAATATAATTTGCTATTCAATTCTGTTTTTGAAATTTTGATTTGTCGAACTGATGCGACGCGCAACACCTGATAAACGAACAATCAATGCTCTAGCGTTGCTATTTTCAATTCGAGTGGAATTGTAGTTAAAATTGTGCGCAAAAGTTACTTTACCGCACAGTGCTGAAGAGTTACTTTTTTTTTCATAAATAGTACTCGTAGGTAAAACATTATAACTAACTCTTGCGGAAAATGTCTATTCCACAAGAAATACTTTCCGCACTTGTTCGGTAAATAACTATTTGAACATTGTATCGTGTATACCTATCAAACACCTCGAATTTGGTATTCAATTGGAATTTCTTATGGAAGTATTTGAGACAAGTCCAAAGTGATAGTCTTCTTCGAAATATGAACAAGAAAATGCCTAACAAAATGTTGCATCTTTTTTATAGTCGTAGTAGGACGTAAAATTATGTTATCTGAAAATTTGTTGCTCAGTAAGAAAAACTTCAAGATAGTTGGTACTCAACATGGTATAATGGCAAGAAAAAATTTAGATCGCACGTAAGTTTGAACTCGAGACCTATTTTTTAGAGTTTCCGTTAGGTGATTTTCGGTAACTCTATTTGGATAAAACTTGAAAAATACGATTTCAACAAAGAAGAATCATGGCACGGAGAATCAGCATATATATTCAAGGCGAAGCCAGAGCAGTCGTGAGTAGATTGTCAAGGGATCAAGCACCCATAAGCAACGCACACGGTAAAGACTATAGAAAGCTATATATGAAGAGTTGAAAAGCGACCCCATCATGGGAATGCCAACGGATGGAATAATTCCAAAATATAGCTTTGAAAAAACTTTTAAAATAAGTATAACCATAGATCTAACGGACAGAGAGCCTTGGAAGGAAGGACCTCCTATCAATGCAGACATTGCTGTCTATACGGACGGCTCCAAAACTGAGGAAGGATAAGGAGCTGGTATTTATGGGGCCAAGCCAAAGACAAGAATCTCACTGAGCTTAAGTGAATACGCGACGGTGTTTCAGGCAGAAATTATTGCAATACATCATTGCGTGAAAGAATTGATAAGGCAAGAGTTTAAAGGCCAAACCATTGCAATCTATTCAGATAGCCAGGCAACAATCAAAGCAGTCAACTCTATGCAACTCAAAACTAGTATAGGATTGTTAGAAACCCTAAATGAACTGGGCAGTCAGAACAGACTGACTCTAGCATGGGTACCATCAGCGCATACAGGGTACGAGGGAAATGAAGAGGCAGACTCACTTGCCCGAGCAGGAGCAACCATAGCTCTGAATGGCCCAGAACCCTTCTGTGGTATTGCAAAAGCTATGCAAAAAACTAGTATCAAATCATGGAAGCAAACCAAATCTCAAAAATGGTGGAACAACTCGCCAGGAATCACAGGCAAAAGAGTTTATTAAAACACCATCGCCAACATTCACAGAATATCTACTGAGCCAGAAACGAAGGTCAACTAGAATACTAGTGGGACTTCTCACAGGGCATTGTAGGCTCAACAAACACATGAGTACGATAGGTCTGACTGAAGAACTGCTGTGCAGGTTCTGTCAAGAAGAGGAAGAAACAGCAGCACACATACTTAGCCACTGTGAGGGCTTGTCAAGACATATGTCAGGACTAAGGTTCCTTACGCTGGGTGAGGAAAAACCAGGAGCCCAAAGATACACAGGGGATCTGAAAGCTAGCCTATGGAGTCTCATAGAGAAGGCGGGGCTATCCGAAGAACTCTAATCGATTTTGAGGGCAGACACAATAGATATGAAAAGGTCGCTGTGTGGAGGCAGATAGCCCGAAGGCCACATTCTAAATCTAACCAGCATCCCGGATAATCCGCGCACGGATAATCGGGGATCTGTATATATTGTTTTTTATTTCAAATCGTGATTTTCTATCTACCGGAGCCATTGAACGTTCCATATTTTGCACTTAATTTGAATTCACTATTTTTCGAGAGGAAAATTTAAAAAAATTAAGCCAATCCTGTTGATTTGGAATGAGGTGATTTTTTGCATATGAAGGTTGGAAAGGATGAGGAACAATATGAAGTTAGTTTTCTTGCAAAAAATCCTAATATGATTTCATAAAAATCGACCCCTTCAATAAAAAAGCAGGGTACTGTCCAAAATGATGCTTGTCTCAGAAAAACTAATTAAATTGATGGTTATTCATACTAGTCCAAATTTGGTAGGCTGAGTGGCTATTGGTATGCAGTATTTAGTGATATCAGTTCTTTATGTGGTAAAAATAATGCAAAATGTTTATTACACTGTTGAAATGGAACTAAAAGTGATGACTCCTGACAGAATGGCATATTGTCTGATAATCAGTTGATCCACCAAACAATTGATACACTCAAATAATGATGTAGTTTTTTCAATATTTTCCATAGATCCCATTCAGCTTTATTCAAGCAAACAAACTCTGTTTTATAACAACATATATTAAAGTTTATGGAAATTTACAAAAATATTCAAATCTAACTCATTGGGAAGGTACATTTTCATTGTAAACTGGACCTTATATCAAACATTTGAATGAAAGAATGCCTTTTCAATTTAAAAAACGGATTTGGCACTATATATCTAGTGTCAAAATAGATGACCACACATTTATTTCAGAACTAAATACTAAGCAAGTAAAGATATAATATAGCAAGTCTAGGTATCACCATACATTAGACTTTCATAGATAATATTAAGGACAAATAGAATGAATTCAAGTTGACATTTCTGAAGTAGATAGAATTGATTGTATCAATTGAAAAATTTCAAGTAATAAAACCTTTATAAAGCAATTTACCTTGAGAACCAATAAAATATGGAAATATCCATCTGAATCAAAGCACTTACCTAACTATCATAACACAGACAATAATATTTGTAGATGAGATGTTTCTCTTTTGAATAACATTGAAAGTATAGATATTACCACTAGATATCAGGTTTAAATCTTCAAGCTGAATACCATGTTCAGAAACTGTTCATAATGTATGTTGATGTAGCCATCTTGGTCTGTATCATATTGTTTGAATGAAGATGTTAAAGTCTGCAAAATAAACATAATAATATATACATATATATAAAAAAGGGCAAATTCTCAATCTCACATAAAGTATAACACTAAGCTGTATGAAGTCATCAAACAAGATGGTCTGATTCCCATGTCTATCAAATCTCCTTATCAGAGTATCAACAAGACTATCTGACAGCCTATAACCAAAGGATGTGAGGGCATGCTTCAGTTCACTTTTGTCAATGTTTCCAGAATTGTCTCTATCAAATGATCTGAAGCAATTTTGCCAGTCTGTGACATATTTCCATAAGGCTCCAAAGTCATCAAAACTCACTTGCCCTCTGTTGTGACGATCAAACATACCTAAAAACAATTCCACAGATAGAATCTTGGTAAAACTGAAAATAAATCTGCCCCCAAGCATTAGATAGTATTCTTAATATAAATCCTGAAATATTACCTATCATTAAACGTACTGTCTCTGGATTGAAGGGGCTCCAGGTGCCATTTGATAAAGCAGCAGCTAGTTCATCTGCATTAATAAAGCCACTCCTGTCTCTATCAACCCTGTGATGGAGGAAACATGTAAATTATGTGGTCCAGACTCCAGAGGTCATGTGAGTAGGTACATACCTATCATCAGAACAAGTGCACAATAAACAAACAAAAAATCCTTACCTTTGGAAAACTTCCCAAAGAAAATCTCTGCTAGGCATAGGTGATGAAAATTGGCTCATTTTGTATCACTGATGTCCAAAATCTACTAAAGGGTACTAATGTATTACAAAGAAATTGCTTCACGTATTGTTGAATCGCCTTTATCTTTTGTATTAAGTGGCGCTTTCTGAGTCATTTGAAAACAATAATAATGTTTAATGTTTGAAAATGAAAATTCCAATTCCAAACAGGTACATGATACGTCATTCATTACAATGACCAATGACGACTTACGTCAAAGTACTCAAAGTCTCAAAGTCAAGTCTTCAATTCTTTTAACCTTATTCTTCTCCTCTTTTAATGTCTTATATATATATAAAAAACTAATCTTCTCAATCTTCTCTCCTTTTTTCTATCTTTTCATGATTTCATGGCCTATGTAATCTGTGAGGCTTGGAAATCTTGGAATGGGCAGCATTTATAAATGTGATTGATACAAGTAGAAGCTCATTGATATACAAGCATTAAAACACAAAACTATGCACAAAACTAACACACAAAGGAGTGATACCTTTTTTGCTTTGAGAGTGATTCCATAGGCACAGTTCAAGGCTTACAGAATAGCCTCAAACTGTGCCATAGGAGATATGAGCATATATCATAGAAAAAACAGAACTTGCACTAAGCCATACTTTATTCACCATTGAAACCCATTAAAATACTCTTTCAGTTTCAATAGAATATAAATAAATGCAATAAAATAATATAGATTCACAAAAACTTTCAGGAGGAATGGATGTTTTTCAACATTAATATATAAAAATACAGTGGGAAATACCCATCATAGATCAAGAAATATGGTAACCCAGGGACATAATGTTGCCATTGCATTTCAGATTAATCTCAATATGTATATATAGGTATAATTGGTACATTAAACTAATCTTGGCACCCACATTATTTGCTCTGCTTATATCCTATATTAAACTTTTAAGCTGAAAACCATGCTGAGAAATTGTTCATAGTGAATCTTGATGTATCCATCTTGATCAGTATCATGCTGACGAAATGCAGAAGTAAGTGTCTACAAAAATAATACATCTAGATTATCTTAAATACCTACTTTATGCACTAAATAATAATATAGGCTAGTTGGTATTATTTTTGTTCCCAAATTGAGAAGTCAACTTGAATAATGTTTAGCTATATACCTATATACCTGAAAATACTTACATAAAGTATAATACAGCACTGAATAAAGTCATCAAATAGTATAGTTCCTCTTCCAAGCCTATCAAACTTCCTCAGCAAGGTATCAATAAGATCATCTGATAATCTGTACCCAAAAGTTGTGAGTGCAGTTTTGAGTTCACTTCTATCAATGTTTCCTGAATTATCTCTGTCAAAAGATTTGAAGCAGCTTTGCCAATCAGTTACATACTTCCAAAGTGAAGAAAAATCTTCAAAACTCACTTGACCTCTGTTATGCCTATCAAACATACCTAAAAAATGAGAGAAAAAACTACTAAAATAGGGAATCTATGGACCCTAGTTTAATGTGCAATGTATGATTTTTACCAATCATAAGACGAACAGTTTCTGGATTGAAAGGACTCCATGTACCATTGGACAAGGCAGATCCCAACTCATCAGCATTGATAAAACCACTCCTATCCCTATCAACTCTGTAATAAATTAATGAAAACACTATTTAATTTGAGACCACAGACCATACACACAGCTAATTCATACCTTTGAAAAACGTCCCACAGAAATTCTCTATTGGGCATAGGAGAACTGAAATGACTCATTCTATAGTATTACTTTTGTTATTCAAAATTTCAAATATATATTTTTTCTTGAGAATCTTGAGAAAACTGGAAAAAGAGGAACCGGACCATAGAAATCATCCGGACTCGGACTGACAGAACAAAAATTGACCTTGAAGTGACAATCATGTCTGACATGACAATTGACGGAAAAAAATTAACATTCAAATTATTCAAAAATAAAGAAGATAAGATGCGAAAACTAATTTAAGAAAAAGGAGAAGAACGAGCAAGAACGAGGTTACGGTTAGTATTTTTATGTGAAGCCCCGAAAGCCTTTTAATGTTTATTTTTGTATGATCTTTGTTATCTTTGAATTGAAGTGAAATAATTGATAAAAATAAAACGATTTGATGATATAATATATTCGTCCTGATACTGTACAAAATTGGACTTCATGTCAGGTATAATAAAGAGATACAATACAATCTGTGTTTTCAGTATCTATTCATAACTATTGTTTGTTTAATATTTATATTTGCATGCCAGGAGTTTGGTTTGATTGACTATTCTCCTTTGGATCTTCAAAATAAAAAATGGGAAGAAAAATCACTGTAGCTGCTTCAACTTTGAACCAATGGGCTCTGGATTTTGAAGGAAATTTAGATAGGATTTTACAGTCAATTTTAGAGGCAAAAGAACTTGGTGCAACTTTCAGAACAGGGCCAGAATTGGAAATATGGTGAGCAAATAATCTTGGTAATCACCAGTAATCACATTATATTTGAGAGAAACTAGGTATTGAAGAAAATCTATAATTTTTTCAGTGGCTATAGTTGTGAAGATCACTTTTATGAAAGTGACACCTTTTTACATTCCTGGGAAGTTTTAGCAGAGCTTTTAACAGCTCCCTTATGTAAAGACATTCTCATTGATGTTGGTATGCCAATTATGCACAAAAATGTTGCATACAATTGCAGAGTGATATTTCTCAACAAGAAAGTTCTTCTCATAAGACCAAAACTGACACTCTGTGATAGTGGGAATTACAGGGAAAGCAGATGGTTCACTAGCTGGAAAAAGGTATGAAAATTAATCTAGAAAGTGATTTTTTGTCAACAGGTTGGTTGTAGATTAGAACAGTAGAAGATTTCTATCTTCCAAGGATGATCTCTACCATCACTGGACAAAAAGTAGTACCCATAGGAGATGGAGTCATATCTACATTAGATACTTGCATTGGTATAACAGGCATATAAATAATAAAAACTTTTGTGTGAACAAATTTTTTAGGTTTTGAAATTTGTGAGGAACTTTGGTGTGCAAGCAGTTCACATATCCCTCTATCTCTAGATGGTGTAGAAATAATTTGTAATGGTTCTGGCAGCCACAGTGAATTACGCAAAGGCTATGTCATGGTGGATCTAGTGAAAAATGCCACCATGAAATGTGGTGGCTGCTACATTTACAGCAATTTGAGAGGCTGTGATGGTCAGAGAGTTTACTTTGATGGGGTGTCTTGTATAGCTTTGAATGGCAACATGTTGAGCAGGGCCAAGCAGTTTGCCTTAGCAGAAGTGGTAAGAATATGAATATTGTCACTGATAATATCACATGAGCTCAAGTTGTTTCCTAGATTGTGGCATATTTTGATAAAGATATTATATGTAGTGATATCAGCATTTGGGGTGTCATTAAAATGGCAAGTAAACTAAAATCATCCACTTATATTGTATAACACTTGGTAGGTATAAACATGTGATTGAGGCTTAGGCAAAATTTTGTTACTGCTATTTGTACCTCTACAACCTATTTGCTTGGTGTAATCATGTTATTCAGTATAAAGTTGTAGAGTTGGCAATAGTGAAGAAAACAGTGATGGCATCTAGGCTCAAAATGTCAGTACTGGATAGATTAGTTTGCCGCCAAGATTTCATGCAATTGTGGGGTTATTCAAATGGTCTATTTTGGAGTATCACAGCATATAAAAACAATGCATCCATGATATTTCACTATAGACCAGAGTCCATAATTCTCAAGACACAAAAATAATAGGGGGATGAAACTGGGGCCTGGGATACCTGGGCCATGCTTTTAGTCCCAGGACCTACCAGGGTCCCAAAAAATAATGATACTGGATGTGCCTGCTTGTAAGATCTTCACATTTTGTCCAGCTTGTCACAAAAAAGAAACCTATAGAAACATTACTGATCTGATACATAGGAATTAGGTTAACAAAAACTAACACTCTCAATAATTAATCAATGACTAATACACAAGAAAACATTTACTAATCACATGTGAAATTACACAGCCAAATATTACTGAATTATGTTGGATCAATGTTTAGAGGAAACTCTTCAATACTGTAGAATGCCTTGCCCATTAACAGTTTTTTCAATCTATATTTGAACTGATTCATTGTATTACAAAGTTTTGTTGATTCATCTAATTTGATGTGCAATTTGATGCCTATACCGGGTGTCAACGAATCTATTAGACACGTCATAACTTCTAGACCATTAGGTGTATCAAAATGAGATTTGGTATTTGTGAATGGTATATGAAGAGGAGAGTTTTTACATATTTTCCACTACCCGGTCACTTCTGGTTTCACCGGAAATGGCTCTGGTTCTAAATCTTTAAATGGAACACCCTGTATATTGTAACATTTTTGGATTTCTGAGACAATTCTAGATCAGAATGTGACATTTTCGAAAGTTTTTATGCCTATCTAATTTTTTCGGAGTCACTTTTGAAATTACATCTAGGTGGCCATGATCGGACGTACACCAATCTATGGACCTCAGGTGATATCAGAAAATTATAATCGCGAAGTTTTAGTGACAAGTATGATAGATATGAATAAGACAAGTTGGCAAAATTACATTTTCATGTCTAACTATTATTTTTCAAATGGCGACCATTTTTTGACAAGCCCTTTCCGAAAAAAGGATATTTTGACAAATCTAACGATACTAATTTATTTGCGATTGGATTACATATAAGAACAAAAATGAAATATTACTGACGAAAATACTTCATAATAATTCATTTACTTTTGTCAAGTGTGCCGAGGTCCTTTGCATGATTTAATAATGTTTTGCAGTTATTTTGATCAAGTCTTCATGGCTTGGGAGAGCAAAACACTCACTTAGGTTATAAGCTTCAAAAGCAGAAGGTAAAATTTTCTTGATTTTCGTTGAATTTTAGTTTAATTTTCCGTCAAAATAATGTATACTCAAAGTGAAAAAAGGATAAGTTGTTATTGTTTGGAGGATGTCACAGAAATTCAAGGAATGCTGCTGAGTTGTATGTAATAGAGCATTTCAATAATCAAATTATTGCAACCAATGGACCAGTACGGTGGCCTGCCCGCTCACCGGATCTGACTGTGCTAGATTTCTTCATTTGGGGATATGTTAAAGAAAGGGTCTACTATGCAACAGCCCCAGCCACTCTCGAAATCTTAGAAGAAAGGATTCTACAGGCATTTAGAAGTATAACGCCACAAATTTTACGAAACGTGTTGAGAGAGACTATAGTGAAAATTTTAAGAAATTAGGAAATTGAAAAAAATGTAAGTGAATCGTTGAAGTTATTGTTAATTTTGTTAAATTTGTTGATCCAATCGCAAATAAATTAGTATCATTAGATTCGTCAAAATATCCTTTTTTCGGAAAGGGCTTACAAGTAAATGAATTATTATCCATGGCACACTTGACAAAAGTAAATATATTATTATGAAGTATTTTCGTCAGTAATATTTAATTTATGTTCTTATTTGTAATCCAATCGCAAATAAATTCTCGTTAGATTCGTCAAAATATCCTTTTTTCGGAAAGTGCTTGTCAAAAAATGGTCGCCATTTGAAAAATAATAGACACGAAAATGTAATTTTGCCAACTTGTCTCATTCATATCTATCATACTTGTCACTAAAACTTCGCGATTGTAATTTTCTGATATCACCTGAGGTCCTTAGATTAGTTTACTTCAAATCATGGCCACCTAGATGTAATTTCAAAAGTGACTCCGAAAAAGTTAGGTAGGCATAAAAACTTTCGAAAATGTCACATTCTCATCTAGAATTGTCTCAGAAATCCAAAAATGTTAGAATATACAGGGTGTTTCATTTAAAAATTTAGAACCGGAGTCATTTCCGGTGAAACCGGAAGTGACCGGAAAGTGAAAAATATGTGGAAACTCTCCTCTTCACATACCATTTACCTATACCAAATCTCATTTTGATACACCTGATGGTCTAGAAGTTATGACTTGTCTAATAGATTCGTTGACACCCGGTATAATTTGGATCATTTTAGCCAATTTGGAGTTTCTTAAGTGGTAAGTTCAACTCACCTCTATCTCTTGTACCATAATCATGTAGGCAATCATTTCTTTGAAAGAGCACCAGTTCCTTCTGATTAAATACTAGAACCTCATAGATGTATAAACATGGCATTGTCAGAATGCAAAAACTGATGAAGTATTTTTTACAGTGTGAGTTATATGATAACCCCAATGATGGTTAAATATCTAGATTTTGTTTGAAGTAGTGGAGTAAAACTTTCCAGTTGATTGAATATTCTTAGTTAGGTATTTTTTTATGTTTAGGAAGTTGTGTCTGCTACTATTGATTTGGAAGATATCAGATCCTATAGAAACATGAAAAGATCCAATGCACATTTGGCATCTTCAAGTGAGAGTTATCCAAGGGTTTTTGTTGACTTTTCATTGTCCCCTGAACATGATGCAACATTGCCTTTTGCTAGGCCAATTGTATGGGATTTTTTGACTCCAGAAGAAGAAATTGCTCAGGTAGGAAAACTCACTGAATTCCTTATTCATTCTATTTTTCAATATTTCAAAGTGATATTATTGAAAATATAGGGCCCAGCTTGTTGGTTATGGGATTATCTCAGAAGATCTGGCCAGGGAGGTTTTTTCTTGCCCTTGAGTGGTGGGGTGGATTCCTCAAGCACAGCTGTGATAGTTTATTCCATGTGTACCCTTATAATGAATTCAGTGCATCAAGGCGGGGGTAAGGTAGCAACAAATACAGATCATTTTCATAGGGGTTGAACTTGAAATTTCCATAAATGATTTTTTTTTTCAGACCAAAAATTATTGGCTGACTTGAGAAGGATAGTGGGTGATCCAGAATATGTCCCCAAAAGTTCCCAGGATCTTTGTGATAGGTTTTTGGTAACTTGTTATATGGGTACTGAAAATTCCTCTAAGGAAACTCATAAGAGGGCTGAACTATTGGCTCAATCAATAGGAAGGTATGAATAATATACTGTAGCACCTATTTAATGACATTTTTTCCCGGATATATATCACAAATATATACTGTTGATGGTTTTGTTGTGCTACAGTTCCGAAAAATAAGCCCATAACACCGTCCGGGAGAAAGAACTGCAAGTCCTTTTATCTTCCGGTCGACTTTGTGGATATGTAAATAATTACTGAACAACCACTGAGTTCGCAATTTTTCAAAATCAAATCTCAATTAGACTGGCAGTTTTTCTTATAAAGACTGACAGATATTTGATTAGGTACTTTGTACTTCAAAAGAATGATGAAGATGTCTGCAAGAAGATACCTGCAAGGCAGGTGCCATTCCTGTTAAAAACTTCCCTTGTATAATAAATAACTATTTTTCTGTGACGAGAAAAAAGTTTGGCATTTCATTTCTGTTGGCAGGTTATTAAATGTCACTTTCCATAAATTACTTTTTTTCCGTGGGAAAAAAGTGAGTACTTTTGTCCCGGATATAATGATGCAAATGTATGGAATAAATTCATTTCAAAACAAGACGACTTCCAAAAAAAATCCAAAAACTAGAGTTCAGAACTTTTTTTATTGTGTATTTTCTTCTTCGATGTTCAATTCTCAGTAGCAGACCTCTGCAAGATTCAGTTAACCAAATGATAATCCATTTTAATTGCAATTTCTTATGCAAAATTTTGACTGTTGGATAGACGATCAGTAGACCTTTCAAACGAGGTGTCACATGACCCCTGTTTGTATTTGAAAAAATCGTCCATTACGTCATTACTCCAACACCAGTGATGTAACATCTCTCATATGAATGTCATGAGATGAGGCTTCAAAAATTAAAACTCACGTGTTTTTGGAATTTCATCAAATGTAGCCCATTTCTGAAATAATGAATTTATTCCATACATTTGCATCATGCTGTATATCACATTTATATATCCACTGTTGATTGGTTTTGTTGTGCTATAGTTCCGAAAAATGAGTCAATAATACCGTTTCCGAGAAAGAACTGCAAGTCCTTTTATCTTCCATTCAACTTGTTAGGTATATTACTGAACAACCACTTGATTCGCAATTTTGTGGAATCAAATCACAGAATTTTGACTGACAGAAGTGACATCAGATATTTGATTACTTCAAAAGAATGATAAAGATGCCTACAACGCAGGTGTCCCTACTGTTAAAAACTTGAAATTTCACGTCGATAATTTTCAGATTTCAAAATAATGTAATATCTTCTCAATATTGATTCGTGCTTTCTTCTGTCACAGAGAAAAATAGTGTATTATACACGGGAAAAATATTATATTTTAGATCACGGTTTTTTGTCTCCCTCCGCTACGCGTCGGGAGACAACACAACCTGGAGCTTTTCTTCCTTGTATAATAAATAACTATTTATGACATAAAACATCCCAGAGTTTTTGTTTGAAACTTTTTTGTTTCACTTTTTTGTTTCATTTCTTATTTAGCTAAGTTATATAAATAGTTGTTACTGAATAATTTGAATATCACTGTACGCTAATCAGTTATATTAGGAAAATATTGTGAGACCATAGGTTCAGGAATTCTGTCTAATTTTTTTGAATGGAATCAATCACCTAGTGTTGTAAATTTTCTGAGTTAGTCAACAGGTGAAAAATCCAATTAAAAAAGTCTTAGTGTTTTTTGGAGAGACAATAGTAATCAAATTTATGGAAAAATCATTACCTTTACTTGTTTCCACAGTTGAATGAAATGGTTTGAGGAACATATTTGCTTGCATAATTGTATAAAAATAATTGTTTTAATATTTCAGTTATCACATGAGTATCACAATTGATAGAGTGGTCACAACATGCATAGACATTTTCAGCCATGTTACGGGTTTGAAGCCTAAATTTGCAGTCAATGGCGGGTGTCCAAGGCAGAACCTTGCATTGCAGAATATTCAGGTACCACTTTAATTAATTCGGTACCATTTTGTAATTGTTTTTCTTTATATCAGGAGTGCAAAATTAAAAATAGCTTCATCAAGTCATGTTATTTCTGCCTGTAAGTGTCTAAAGCCACTAATATTATTCCTGAGGCCTTCCTCTATCGAGGTTGAACTTGAAACGGATACTATTTTCAATTTTGAAGATTTCTAGAATGCATTGGATATGGAAATTGATGTATTAATGTTGATATGAAAAAATATATTGGTACCTGGTGTCTTGGATCTTCTCCTACCGCCAATATCTCAGTTATGCTTCTTGGAAAAAAATTGATATTGAAGTCATTGTGTCAAAGTCAACTTCTGTCAAACTACCCCTGAAAAACCACCGCCAACTTCATTTTTTCAAGTTACACCCTGTTCGCGGGAATCAATGTTACCAGGTGGCGCTCGGTTTTCATCGTGACTACAGAGACTGCATTTAACACAGTGACGACAATGGCATGTCATCTTTTCTATTGGTCGATAGAAATCCGCCATGTTCAGGCAAAACCCGCGGCAAATTTGAATGACTAGAACTTTGTGTTGAAAGGTTGAAAATAGTAGTGTTTTTCTGTGGTTTTCCTGTATTTTTCTCATGCAATATTATTTTCCATTTGATCAAATATTTACACAGAACATAATATTGGCAAATTCAAGAATATTTTTAATGATCATAATAATGATTTATGTAATAATTAAAAAATCCGCTGTCCGCCATGTTTAGGCAAATTCCGAAGTGCTGATTGTGTCAGAAATATGTCTGTGTATTTCTGGGGTTTTGTTGTTTACCTCATGCAGTAGGTATTTTATTTTCTATTCGATCAAGATCATATATTTCTGCAGAACATAATATTGGTAAGTTAGGAAATATTTTTAATAATCATGGTTTAACCTCATTTATTTATTTTTTTAGATTTTCTACCTCCAGTTTTATAAGTTGCATATTTATTTCAATGAGGCTGGAAATTGTATTACAGTATGCAGGTTTGCAATAACTTTATTGAATTGGACAGCTTGGGTGATCCAATAAGTTATGTGAAAACTCCTAGAAGCCTCTTATGAAAACTTTGCATGCAGGATGGATTCCTGATGATGAAATATGATAATGTTGTCCATAACTCCACTCTCCAGCTACCCCATGTGATTGAGAAGCTATAGAATACCAAACATATAAAGAAATAATCAAGCAGTGACTTGAAACAGCATGAAATTATAATTACTTGAAGTATGTGCATTGAAAATGTAGAATTATCAGTGTATGTGTATTAAATTAAGTGAAGTTCATGGAAGACAATGTAGAATATTGGTGGACAATGACAATGTGATGAAAATAGTTAAAAACTAGTCATTAATACAAAAAGACATTGATTTGCACAAACTAGTATGATGTTTTGTTCTTATAAAAATGTCAGTGATTTCACTATGCTGTATTTTGACTATTATTTTGACAATATTAATTATTAATAACAAATAATTTTTATGGAAAAAGTTCATTTCATTTCTCACATATCTCACAAATATACTGCCAGACACATAGGTGATTGACATTAATCAACAGTGATAATTAGTATAGGTATATTTTTTTACATCTATGTAGTTATTCCACCATTATTACAGTTATCAATTTACTGATATTTGATTATTTCTCATAAACATAACAAATTAGGTATGATTTAACAAAATGATCATCATTATAAATACAAAATTAAACTGGAAACTACAAAATTTCACAAATCTCTTGCCCTAGTGGATAAAGGTACCTACTTACTAGAAAGTGGATTTAAAATGATATTTTCACACAATATAATATCTCATCTGATATGTGTCCTAGAAAGTACATAAAATATTGATTGATTTCCAGCAAGTAAACATCTAGTCCATTCACATTTTCCCTTTCCTTTAACAAATCTTATGTACACACAACATCTACACATTTAGTAAGACTGGCAAGCTGTATAAATAGTCTTTAGTCTATTCATAGAATCAGAATGATCAGTTCTTGGATTACCAATTATTATCATTGGAAGTACATATGAGATCTGTTTTAATTTCTGTGGGTTACCATTGGTTTACTTGAGAGAGGAATTATATTCCAGATTGCCATGTCACCTTCTCTGATGTTCTGATCAATACACCATTTTTGTCAGATATGTTATCTTTACTGTGTTTTTTCAACCAAAAAATCCTGTATGCAGAATTCTATTTCATTGTAGTTTGGGAGTAGACAAAGTATAGGTACATTTTTACCTTAGAAGCTTTACATATTTTCTTTTTCCTTCAAGTTGAAATCATCACTCCTGGAAAAAGTAAGTACTTATTGGAAGTAGTCATTCCTGATTCTCCCAGAGATCTAATTAGACTGTTTTCAATGACTCAAAATTTCACCTACTGATAGAAAACTTGTTATTCCTTTGAGTTTAGCAAAGTCCATGTACCTATCTGTGGGTTTGAGTACCAGCTTCCGAGTCTTTATTGGCTGCTTTTCAATTCTTCTTCTGAAACTAAGTCATCTACATAGCCTAACCTGATCTATATTCATTACATTGTTTGAATAAAGTGAAATATAATTAATTAATTCTAAATAACAACAAAATGCTTATCAAAATATCCCAAACAAAAAACATAACCAAATAATTAATAATTAGACAAAGACAGAGTATTTGACATTAGCCTAAACATGGCGGATGCCAGCCCGTTGTCGTCACTGTGTTAAATGCAGTCACTGTAATCGTGACATCCATGTCAAAGTCACGTCAAAACTGGGGCAAAACAAACTCAATCCTCACTCAATCCCATTAGTGCCATTAGCTTGTGTACTGATAAGAGTGATAAGTTTTTAATTTTCTTGACATTAATTGTCAATATTCGATCGAAAACGCTGATAATGCCTGTTGTAGATGTTTTTTTGACAGATATTTTGCTCTATTTAAACGGAAAATGCCGACCAGTAGTGGAAGGAAAGGCAGTTCTCCGTGCTAATCATGTGATTTTGTGTGAGGCAGAAGACTTCAACAAAAGGCACATTTTTGCACTTTGTCTACAAACTTCGGCGATGAAATCTTCCCCACATGAAGTAAAATTGAAGTTGGGGTCAAGAGGAACTCCTGTAGAACAATGGATTTGTATTTGTTCATGCAAAGCAGGACAATCTGGGTATTGTAAACATGTTGTAGCTGTTCTTTTATATGTCAATTGATTTGCTCGTCATAATTAGTTCGAATTGTTTGAACTATCTCCAATTCTTCACCCGTTCACTGTTCACTAAACTAATAAAAATGTAATAATGTAAAAAATTAACCAACTCAACCATCATCACTACCAACAGGCCAACACTTTATGTCATTGACATGTTTGACTACAACTACAGCAAGCTGAATGCAATGTAGTCTATGCACTTCATCCATAAACAACAGTTTGTTTTCCCCCAGTTTGAAGTTCGTATTATGTAACCTAGATGTCGTCCACTTCGTGAATCTCGCGAATACTTTTCTCTGTTGATGATTTGACTGACGTCCAATTTACAGAATACTCATTTGGGGTGAACTGAAAATTCATTATGTTTGAGTTGGATGTACCTACAAACATGAACATACAGGGTGTATCTGAATAACACCGAAACTATGCACTTCATCCATAAACAACAGTTTGTTTTCCCCCAGTTTGAAGTTCGTATTATGTAACCTAGATGTCGTACACTTCGTGAATCTCGCGAATACTTTTCTCTGTTGATGATTTGACTGACGTCCAATTCACAGAATACTCATTTGGGGTGAACTTGAAATTCATTATGTCTAAGTTGGATGTACCTACAAACATAAACATACAGGGTGTATCTGAATAACACCGAAAAAATTCATCTTAAACTTTTCATATTCAGGCCAGAGTGCGTATGGTACTGTCTTACCTCTTCGCCCAACTGATGCTCTGGACCAGAGGCAGGCCAGGTGGTTTGCTGGTCTTAGGTTCGGCCAATGTAGACGAGTCCCTTCGAGGGTACTTGACCAAGTACGACTGTTCGAGTGCCGACATCAATCCGATAGGAGGCATTTCGAAAACCGACTTGAAAAGGTCAGTGCGGAAATAAAAAATGGCCCACTATTGAACTTGAAAATTTATTCGGAAGATCAATTAATAGGACTGTATAACGCGTATTTGAATGGTTTGAATTGAAATTTAGAACACACATTTGAGCAACTGAGTAATCACATCAGAGTTGTATCGACAAAAGCCTAGGGAAGATTCAGCTCAACAAAATATGGGAAAAAGTTCATATGAATATGGGTTTTCTTGAAGTTTGTTTTTCGTTAACATTTGCAGTGAAGTTTTCATGGTTTATTTGAACAATTATCAGATATCTAGCGAACCTACCACTTAGATTTCATCTAGAATTTCCACGGATATACTCAGCGAGATGCAGTCGATTGGTTTTTGCGGAAAAATAACTTTCTGTAATTTTTTTCGTTTCTTATTAAAGTATAAAATTAGACCAATAGATGTCTAATAACTCTTCGAATAAACCGTGAAAATTTCATTTAAATCGGCTTATACATTTTTGAGCTGTTAGTGAAAAACTCAACACCTTGTATCTCGGAAACGTAGCATTTTGGGATCCATGTTCATATGAATTTTTTTCCTGAGCAAAATCTCCCCAAGGCTTTTGTCACTACAACTCTGAAATACCCTGAATAATTCTTTTTTTGTCCAAAAACAAGTCCATACAAAACAATCTAGGGAAACTGAATAGTCGCATTTTGAATTGCCTTGAAACACTCTTTTTTCATCAATGATATAATATTGAAGGAATTCCATCATCGGTTTTGCATTTTTTAGGTTCATGATTTATGCTAAAGATCAATTTAAAATAGACATTCTCGAAGAAATAATAGACGCCCCTCCCACTGCTGAACTTGAGCCCCTCAAAGAAGGCAAATTAGCTCAAACTGATGAAGAAGACATGGGTATGTGTGTTTTGGTGTTTCGAAAATGGCATCAAAAATTTTGTGACCTGCAAAAGTGTCTCCTTTTTTTATTATAATTGACAATGTGACGCTTAGAAACCGAGTTTCGAAAATTAATATGTGATGAATATACTTTTAGATATTTATAAGATGATCTCTCCTAATGTTATTTTCACAGTTGATTAACCCTCTGCTCACAGGTATGACGTATGAAGAACTCAGCCAATTTGGAAGGCTTAGAAAAATCGATAGTTGCGGACCTTTTTCCATGTACTGCAAGTTAGTGCACACTTGGGCTGGAAATTTAACACCAAAGCAGGTCGCAGACAGGGTCAAACATTTTTTCAGGTTAGAATTAATAAGTATCATTATCTCTAATAATTATGAACGTATTTCTATTTTGTTTCAACTATTTCATTGAAAGCACCTGTATGGAGACGATTTTGTGTCTGTTTCAATCATTTCTCGATTTTTTTTATACTGTCTGAGAAAAAACAGCATTTCATTTACTGAAAATTATGAGACTGCAACTATTTTATTGGTTTCAGATGTTATGCAATCAATAGGCATAAAATGACAGTATTAACTCCTTCTTATCATGCTGAATCCTACAGTCCTGAAGACAATAGGTTTGACTTGAGGCCATTTTTGTACAGAGCGAATTGGTCTTGGCAGTTTAGAGCAATTGATAAACAGGTTTGTTGAATCACTCACTATTATCCACAGTGATGAGCGTCAACTTTTTTTTCACAAAATATATTTTTTTGATAAATCCGACATATCCAGAGAAAGGAGATAGTCGGAAAACATAAAATGTATTTGAGTAAATAGGTAGGTTAGGTAGGTATCCTAAAAATCCCATAAGTTCAGATCCAAAGAGAAATAAACCAGTGGCAGATTTTATAATTATACTCAAGTACTGTTTACAATATCATAATTTTTAACATAATCTCCAGATGATTTCAATTATATTTTATTCATTATCCTGGCTGCTCATCACTAAATCCAGCAGAAAGTAAATACAAACAATTTTAGAATGTGCTGCTCATTTAGTTCTTGTATCTCCATATTTTAGGTAGCTTTCATCACAAGTGTAAAAAGACAGAATGCAGATAATTCTCAAAATTCACAGAAAAAGAGTAGCGATACTTTTGGAAACCTTAGGACAGGAGTTACAGTGTAATATTTGCGATGAAAAGGTATTTTTCTTGTTCACATTTTTCAGTTCAAACTTCTTTCTACTATTAGAGAAGATTAGTGAATATAGGTTTGTATTTCTATACACATGCTTGATTGAAAAAGTAACTTTCATTTTTTTGTTGTTGAGCTTGATTGAGGGATATTGAAAATTGTATTTTAATATTTAATTTTGAAAACTTTCAGAGAAAATATGTTTTTAAAATGTGTATATCCACTTTTGTATTTAACAGTTTTTCGGATGTATTCAATAGAAGTGGAGCAATGATTGATTTATCTTTTAGAATGTTATTTCAAATATAGTTTTTATTGTTTTTATAATAATTGAATAATATATATTTATGAAAACAACCCGATAATTGATACTTCTTCTCCCAGTCAGGTATAGGCATATTTCAATATTTTGGAGAACAAATAAAAAATGTATTCAGTATCAATATGAATATAATTTATTTGTATAACAACATTAGGACAACTACATATTTTGTTCTATATTAAGTAATAACTGAGCGTGAAGTTACATAAATACATATAATAAAGTTAAAAAGTATCAGAAATGAAAAGTAAAGCTAATTTTTAAATAAAGAAGCTCAAGAAAAATATCTTTCCTTAAACTCAGTTCCATTGGGTACGTAAAAATATACATTCTAGAAATTCGTGAATACTGTGACGTAAAAATGAAACAAATAATATTAAACTCAATTCAACATTTCTAGGTACACTGGCAAATAGACAAAAATTAAATAGTACACACTAACATGCCAAAAAAAGACCAACTATAAGATAAAAGGTACTTATAGCAGATAAACTAAATATTTCTATATACAAACAGTTATCAACACTCATACCAAAATAATAACAAATTCTCACTTTAACAAGGACTAAAGTATTGCAAAAATTTGTTCGTTGTAGTAGAGAGAAGATCACAACTAACATTTTTCTTTGAAATATTCTGTAGCACCATAGTTCTAAAGAGTTCTCTATGAAGCACCAGAATCGATAAGGAGCGCGTTAAAGTTTGGATTTTCATCCAATGGCTATCTAAAATGACAAATGTTACCCACAAATTATTGTGAAAATTCTCTTTTCATTTTGAATTGTACCTACAGCTTCAACTATACGAGGAGATAACTTCAGACACGAAAGTTGGCACGTCTAAAACAAACAATTGCGTATTACAGAATCTAAAAAAAGTACAATAAAAATACTCCTTGTGTAACTTTGGTGAAAGACCTTTTTTGGTCATTGGGTCTATGCAATCAAAATTTGATTGGTAATTTTGAATACTTGATTAACCATCGCCTATCTGTTATACAGTGTGTCCCACTTACCATGCTCACCATGGTTATCTTTTTAACGGTGAGAGATACGAGGTCGGTTAAATGACACCAAATGTGAAGTTTGTCAAGGCCAACTATAATGTGAAAAAATATTTTGATAAAATCTATTCGTTCTTGTTTTATACGCAAAAAACAGATTTTGATCATTCTCATGGCAGTTTTTCGAAGTGATTTCGAAAAAAATATGAAATTTATACCAACTTTTCTAGAATTTGAGATATCAGCACCAACTTTAGTTTTTCAAATGTAGGTCATAGCTCACTATGACTTAGTTACAAATAACTTTTTTTCCTCTTTCAGATGATATGTTGCAGTAATAGTTTTGTGTTGATAACAACAGAGTTATCGTCATTTATACAAAAACAAAATATTATTTGGAAGCCGCCATCTTGAATTTATAAATTTTAACAGGAAAATCATGATCTCCGACCTCAAGAACCCCCACTTACCAGTTTTGAATGTAATCGGACCAAATCTTGTCCGCCATCTTGGAGCAGTCATTTTTTTTTATTTCAACAAAAATTCCATGACTCCGATTAACTTGAAATTTGGCAGGTGTTCATAATTTCGGTGACAGTACATCATGGAATTTTTGTTGAAATTAAAAAAAATTGCTGCTCCAAGATGGCGGACAAGATTTGGTCCGATTCCATTCAAAATTGGTAAGTGGGGGTTTTTGAGGTCGGAGATCATGATTTCTTTGTTAAAATTTATAAATTCGAGATGGCGGCTTCCAAATAATTTTTTATTTTTGTATAAATGACGATAACTCCGTTGTTATCAACACAAAACTATTACTGCATCATATCATCTGAAAGAGGTAAAAAAGTTATTTGTAACTAAGTCATAGTGAGCTATGACCTACATTTGAAAAACTGAAGTTGGTGCTGATATCTCAAATTCTAGTAGAGTTGGTATAAATTTCATATTCTTTTCAAAATCACTTCGAAAAACTGCCATGAGAATATGAAATTCCTATTTGAATATTTTCATAAATGAAGAAGTTACGGAGGAGACATGAAAATGATCAAAATCTGTTTTTTGCGTATAAAACAAAAACGCATAGATTTTATCAAAATATTTTTTCACATTATAGTTGGCCTTGACAAACTCCACATTTGGTGTCATTTAACCGACCTCGTATCTCTCACCGTTAAAAAGATACCCATGGTGAGCATGGTAAGTGGGACACACTGTATTTTGTGCAGGTCGATTGGCTTCAGTTTCCTGAAAACGCTTTGAAAATCTTTGAGGCAATTTTTAACTACATCTATACAGGGTGTCCCCTCTTTCCATTTTTGAGATACAGGGTGGTAAAGTTGAAAAATTAGCTGCCGGGGGTTTTTTGACATCTTTCCACTGTGGCCATCAGAAGGCTCTCACCAAATGCATATCTTATGGTTTAGAATGGCCATAACTTTTTTCACTTTGTTTGCTGAGGAAATACTTTTCTGAATATTTTGAAGCAAAAAAAAAGTACAATTGTTGAAATTCGCTAAACTAGGTAAGTCGTTTTCGAGATATTTCGGTTTTTTGTGTTCGATGCTGCACCGGAATATTCAAATTATTTTGAAAAAAAAAAAAGATTATGTTATCTTTGTGGATGTAATTTTGTCAGTGAATGAGCAGTGTAAAAATTGATTTTTCAAAATACGTTTCTAGAGTACTTTCGGGCCGATTTTTATTTTTTAAATTTACCATCATGTATCTCGAAAACGGAGCAATTTCTGACTGAGGTGAGTTGCTTTAAATCAGCTTATTTTGACCTCAGGACCATGTGCATGGTGGGCTAAAATGGGCACTTTGAAAGGGTAAGTCCTATTTCTGTACAAGATGAAAAAAACTGATGTCGGTGCCTGACAAACTCAAAGGTCAAGACCGCTAATCGATACCAATCTTTATTACAGAGTTACGAGGTGTTTTTCGAAAAGGTGTATTTTTGAAAAGTGGCTAAAACCTCTTTTTTTCGCAAAAACTCTTCGTTTTCCTGGAAACATTCCTAAAGCATTGTGTTTGTCATGAAAATTGATCCTCAGGCACTAAAATCAGTCACCGCAAAATAGAACTTTTCCTTCAAGAAGAACTCATATTCTTATAGTTATTTCTAGTGAACTACCGGTTGGAATTGGAGTCCCTCAGGGATCAGTACTGGGGCCCATTCTGTTCACACTGTACATCAATGAGTTGCCTTTGATCCTTCCAAATGCATTCACCTGTTTATATGCAGATGATTCTACATTATTATTCACAGGCAAATCTGATACTCAAATTCAAAACAGAATTATTGATGATAGTATTCAGACACTTTGTAGATGGTCATATGATAACTCCCTTTATTTGAATGCTTCAGAAACAAATTACTTAACTTTTCATAGCAGACAGAATAAAAATGTTCCCGTTGTAAAATAAATATAGATGAAATACATTGAGTACTAAATGCTTTCAATTGAGAGCTTTCAAATCAATTTTGGACATGCGAGGGCTCCTACCGTTACCACCGATACAACACGGTGGTAACGCTCCTACTCTTTTACCACGGAGAAATTCAATCTCGAATGACATATGGAATCACCATCTGGGGTATAACTTATCTGCCGCTAATGAAGACTTCATAGTGCAGAAAAGAATTGTATGATGTCTTGCCAGTGTTCCTAGTGGCACCACATGTAGGAAATTATTCTAAGAATACAAGTTACTTCCCCTATGTGGGTTATATATCCTTGAAGTTTCAACTAATATACATAAAAAACGAGGTAAAAAAACATAATTCAATACATAGTAATCAAACGCAAACAAAGAATAATTTCTATTTGCCCAACGTACGTTTGACGATATCTCAGAAATCATCGGGCATATTGGGACTCAGACTATACAATTCTCTTCCCGAAGAATTAAAATTGATCAATGAACTGCATACGTTCAAGAATAAAATGAAAATGCATCTCCTCGACCTCTGCCCCTATAGTTTGAACGAATTTTTTTAATACCTGTTTGTTTGTTTGTTTGTTTGTTTGTTTGTTTGTTTACTTAGACTGTATGTTTAATTGTATTTCATATATCCAAATATTTGTACTGACTTGAATTGTCCGATAGCATATAACTGCTCTGTGGATTAAATAAACTTGAACTTGAGATATAGGAAGGCCGATTTCAGCGCCTCGAGAAAAGGTTTTATCACAAACTCAATGCTTTGCAGTTATTTTCATGAGGATAGACGATTTTTGCAAAAAATAACTGTATAGCCACTTTTCAAAAATGTCCATTTTCGAAAAACACCTTGTAACTCCGAACTCGATTTGTGGATTTCCTCATTGAGTTTTTCATGAGAATCGACCCACAGGCACCGACATCATTTTCTTCCATCTGGTTCAATAATTGGAATTTCCCTTTAAATTTGGCCCACCCTGTACAGACCTTTCGTGGAGAAAGTAATAGTGAGATAAACAAGTAACATTTCTCATTGAAAACTATTGGATCTAGCTATAAATTCGAGATTTGGTCCAAATTCTAACGTCGCTCCCTTACTATACACTTTGTCTTAAGCTACACTTATTCGAGTAAACCCAGTTCCTTCCACCTGATTGCACAAAAAACCCGATTTTTATTACAGTCTCCGCTTGTCGCGGACCCATCTAGGCTCGATCGTTTTTTCTTTCATTTCCCGCAGATAACCTCCCAGTTATCGAAAACGAAGTTGAAAAGGAGATTCGTAAAAACTGAATTATCACAGAAGAGATTTGACAGATCCAATGTTTCGAGAGAAGAGATTTTTTTTTTTCGATAGACTACTAACTACATTGGACGGATCATTTTTTATATCCCTACCCCCTTCCCTGAGCACCGTGATTTTTTTGGTAAGCAAATTTTTTCATATTCCATTATACAATTCCATTCAGAGCTAGGTGAGAGTAAAAATGACTTATTTTTCATTCTTTCCAGGTTTCAAGTTATAATTCTGATTTTTTATTTCATTTTGACCATAGAGTCACTCCAATTTCCAAATGGAGTGCCATTAATTTTTCACTTTTTCAATTAACAAGATCGACTGGACTGTAGAAATGTGATGCAAATTGAAGATGCAAAATTTTACAAAATTATCTGAAGCCATTTTTTCCCTTCCCTGAGTGAAATTGTTTATAGAGAACGGTTTTTTGAATTTGTTGAAAAAAATCAGTTCCAGAATTTTTTTGTATGTTGGACAAGTTGTTGCCTTCTTGGGGTGTTTTCATCACGATGCTCCTTCATAGTACATTGTTTTCCAACTCTTTTCTTTCGAGACTTCGTATCCAATTTTAGTTTGTCGAAGATCAGGTCTGAAACAAAAATACACACTGTTAATTGAGCCTTTCCGCTGTGAAACATAACATTTCGTTGAACAATTCAAAAAGTAAATTTTTTTGTCTCAATAAGATAAAAACTGTCTTTCGATATAGTCGAAATCAGGAGTTCAGAATGATTTAACTTTTGTCATCATCTGAAAAATAAGTTGATGGATGAAAATATTCTTCAGGAAGATATCCCAAAACACTCCGAAATTTTGAAGCAGAAAATGTTGAGATGAAAAGTGACTAACAAAATCAAATACATTTTACAAGTTTTCTTCTAAAAAGAAAATAATAACATATTTTACAGGAAAAAGAGATAACCAGTGAGCATTAGGTTAACACGGTTATTAGAAATTATCAAATGTCTTGAGGTAACATTTTTCCTGTAAAATAATGGTACTGCTTGCATTCTTTCTTGGAACGGTTTTCTCATAATCTCACCATTCCAAAAAAAAAAATATGAAAACAGGCCTTATGGTACCGAGATATATTTGATTAGACTATTTCCAACATCACAGCATTTTCAACAATGACCGAACTTTCATGCACTTTTATGAAGTGTGCAATTTTTTGAGATATTAAAAACTCTACCGGGTGGCGATTTTACTAAATATAAACTATTGCAGCACAAGACACGCCCCCTACTACGGCATTGCAAAATATAATCGAGCCCAGCACAATCCTGCAAAATCTAATCTTTGACAGCACAACGTAGCTGATTCATATAAATAAATCGATTGAAAAAGTAGCACATACCACGTTATATCTCATCTTCAAAGTACTTTACTTAGGCAAAACTCTGAGACTATTTATCCTCAACGAACTAACCTATCCCTGATTGCAATATTTTTGAGGAAGGAAAACCGAATGGAGTGTAGAAACACATTGATTAATAATATATTTCAAAAGTTGAGTTCTTCAACAAAATTGAATAAAATGAGACTGTTTATCCTGAACGCACTAACCTATTTGGCTTCAAATATTTTATGAAAAAGGAAAACCAGAATGAAGTAAAAAAACATTGGTGAAAAAAAAAAGTTGCAAAAAAAGTTCGAGTTCACAGCGATTCGAACCATGAACCTTCAGACTGAGAGTCGACAGCGCTAACCAGTAGACCATTTGGGTGTATGAATTTACTGCGTACAAGAGATTGACAACGAGAAAGCTTCAGTTCTTGCGTTGGAGCACAGTATGAGATATGACGTATTATGGTGGGCGTGTCTTGTGCTGCAATAGTTTATATTTAGTAAAATCGCTACCGGGTGATCTGTTTACAGCATTTACAGCATTCTTGGTCTAGAGCAAAATCACGCTATATTTGCAGTTTGTTACATAAATAGGTTTTTTTTAAGTAGCTAGCTCAGTTACGTATTAACTTGCCCAAAAATGCACCTTTTGTGAAAAGGAAATATTTTCCGATACTGCATTTTGAGTTTTGGGAGATGAAGCACTTTTACAATAACTGACGTTTCTTGACATGACATGAAAATTTCGAAACTAGGAGTTTTTGGATGTGAGAAAACATAGATTTTTATTCAAGTTACTTCGATGTATTTTTTTACTGAGCTCCACATAATGTGGTTATAAATGGACTTTCAACTTTTTTGTTATTCAAGTCAACGCTATTTTTAATGAAAAATTCCAAAAATACACGTAATTTCAACAAAATGAAGTTTCTAGTAATCCCAAATCGATAGTTTTCGAAATGATTTCGCCCTATAATCCTCAGTAAATTTTTCATGAGAAATATGAGAGTATTAGACGTCTATATGCTGATATAATAATTTCACAACTTGGAAATATCGGACATAATTTTGTCACCTAAAGGTCCTCAATTTTTTCATAACTCATTTTGTGATACTTTTCATTTAATATTATTTGTACAAGTTTGATGTAAAACATGTTTTATGAACAGCTAGTTTACGCATTTTCTTTCTTCTGGTGTGTAATAAAAGTGCTTCTTGAGACACTGAATCTTCAAATCTTCGAAATTTGAAAGAATGGAGCTGAAATATGCGAATGAGTTGCCATTTCAATATGTTGAAAATAGTAAAAAAAAAATAGTCCTTATGCTGATAGAATGATTTCACAGCTTGGAAATATCGACGTAATAGGCGGATATGTTTTTGTCAGCTAAACGTCCTTAATTTTTCCATAACTCATCAATTTTGTGATATTTTTCATTTAACATTTTTTGTACAAGTATGATGTAAAATATGTTTTATGAGCAGCTATCTTACGCATTTTCTTTATTCTGGTGTGTGGTAAAAGTGCTTCTTGAGACACTGAATCTTCAAAACTCCAAAATTTGAAAGAATGTAGCTGAATAATATGCGAATTAATGATTCTTCTATTTACGAATGAATTGCCATTTCAATATGTGGAAAATAGTAAAAAAAAATTGGCTATATGCTGATAGAATGATTTCACAGCTTGGAAATATCGACCTAATAGGCGGATATGTTTTTGTCAGCTAAACGTCCTTAAATTTTCCATGACTCATCAATTTTGTGATATTTTTCATTCAACATTTTTTGTACAAGTATAATTTGAAAGATGTTTTATGAACAGCTATTTGACGCATTTTCTTTATTCTGATGTGAGGTAAAAGTGCTTCTTGAGTTACTTTAGTGATATGTATCAGAGTTCTTTCATCTAGGATCCATAAAAAATCGTCAAAATTTGATAGAATGGAGCTGAAATATGCGAATCAATCGTTCTTTTATTTACAAATGAGTTGCCAGTTCAAAATGTTGAAAATAGTCAAAAAAATAGCTTAGGTACGTACTTGCAAGAGCATGTTTGCAAAGTTGGAATTCGTAAACTTAAAGTGCCTTTTATCGTAAAACTTGAGCAACGCCGGACTATACGGATGCTTCTCCTTGAGGTGGAGGTAGTGGACTTCCGGTTCGTTGGTTGTGTGGCCGCATTCCTCGCACACGTACACCTTGGTCCTTCTCTCTTTGTAGGCGTACTGATGCTGGACGCCGTGCACTTTTAGGCAGTGCGATTCCAAGGAGCACCGTTGCGTGAAGGATTTCTCGCAAAGGCTGCACTTGTACGGCCTTACACCTTGAAAAAAAAAAATATATAATTTACATAACAAATTCGGAGAATGCGATTTTTGTAGTAGAGATACTGCAAGAGTTCTGCGACATTTTTCAAAATTCAGTCATTTTTTCCCAGATTCTACGGAAAGAAAAAATCAAAATGGAAACATTCAGGCTAAGATTAGCCACAGAAATCATGATCATGAGTTATGTGTATGATGAACTCTTTCTTGAGGATTCAAACCGAAGGTACCATTACGTAAAATGGCGGTCAATTATTGTAATCTAAATAAAATCATATATCCTGTTATAGGCTTGATGTTTAGTTATGTTCGATTAGATCAGTAAGAATCTTGGTGAACTAACTAATACAACAGTATTACAAATAGTGTACACTGTCCATCACACGTGCATAGAGCAGTACACTGCAAATTAAATCTATTGCATTTTCAGTTCTTAATACACATTGTTTTGCATCTGCAGCTGATCAATTCTGAACATTCATCAGATGGCAAAACTGTCCAAAGTGGTTCAATTGTTTCATCTTAACATTCCAGATTTGACGACTTCCATCCCCAGTTAGTTGCATTTGGGATATATGGTTGCAATTCCAGGGTGTGAGAAATTGAGTGAGAGATCAAAGTGAGTATACCGGGTAAGGCATTTATATTGAGATACAATTATATCTCGGTTCGACTCAATTATTTCGAAAGACATTTCAGACCAATAATGTGAGGCCAATGATTTCCAATCCAAATATGTGCTGAACAATGGGTGTTTCTATTAAAAAAATCGACTTCCGCTCTAAACGCTCCACTTCCGGTCTAGTACAATATTTCTCAGATTTTTTTTTCGAAATAATCGAATACAAGCGAGATATAATTTTGCCTCAAGATAAATGCCCCACCCGGTATATTGTAGAGTTAAAAAAAACTTCTATATTTCCAGATGAACAAGTGTGTGAGGAGGATTTTTATGAATAGGCAGGGATACTCGGTAACGGGGTAATTGTTGCTATTTTAAATGACGTTTTGAGGAAACGATGTAATGTTCTTGATTTCATGAGTTAGAATTCTTACAAAATTTTGCACCGTTCTTGAGATATCATCAAAAATCTAGTTTTCGTCCGCCATTTTAGAAAATGGTGGACGAAATATTCCAGACCCAGCTTGTGTCGATGGTTTTTTGTTTCCTATATATTTCTCATCATGCATGCCAAATTTCATGCTGGTAGCCAGAAAAGCAATATTCTTATACTTTTTTGAACCAACCCAACGCACTATTATGTTTGCTGGGTAGTTTTCGTTGTTCCTTACCTGTATGCGTCCTCGTGTGTCGCTTCAGATCGAACGTGTCGTTGAACCCCTTGCCGCAAAACGTGCACAGATACCGTTTGACGTCCGAGTGACACTTCATGTGCCGGTTGAGCAGCCGCTGCAGCGCGAACGTCTTGCTGCATATGCGGCACGCGAAGTTGGGGTGGCCGTCCTCCGTCGCGACGGCGGCGGCCTTGGCCTTGTCGTCGGCCCTCGAAGAGCTGCGGACCGCCTCCTGGCTGGCCAGCGGGTTCTTGATGCCGTGCCCGCCGTTCACGAATTCCAGCTGGACCTCTGCGGGAAGGCCCAACTGCGAAACAAAGGGGAATTGAAACGGGGGATTTTTATTTTTTTGGTTTTGTTTATAGAACAAGATCCCATGAACGCCAGTGACAAAAGTTAGTTGGTATTTTTGGCACCTTTGCTCCCTGGAACCTCCCAAAGGCACCATTACCTTAACTTCATATTTGCCCATCGTTCTTATCTGTGTTATTAAATAACGAAGGTCTGGCATTCATGGTGTCTTGGACTATTAGGAAAGCACGTTTTGATTCGGGCAGTGAGAAGGATTGTTTGTCGATGAGACTGGATTCACCCCCATGAACCTAGGAGAACCGTTTGGTAACTCTTCCACCGCGTAATGGACCTTTCCAGAATCGTTATAGATATTTACAATACGAGTCCTAGAGATTTATATTATGATATGAGATGGGAAAGTTGTCCCATCTCATATTGGTTATTGTAATATAAAATTTACGATACGAATACCTATAGTACAATATTTCACCTACTACCAAAATCTCTGATTATTTGATAAAAAATAGTAAATATTCCTTGAATTAACGATTTATTGGGAATATGTAACAAGCAAGCGTTGAAAGGGTTGGGCGTGTACATATTTGTCATAAATCTTTTGTGTTCTCGCTTGTCACTCATTCTCTAATTGTCAACTCAGCTGTGACGTCGATGCCTACTTGCAATCTGATTGGTTTGAGTTTTCAAGATGATTTCAACCGATAGGTAGCAATGCATAATTCTAGCCAATTATTCGACATTATACTGACAATTTGATTCATGTACCAAAAAACCCATAAGCCACTATGAAAAAAGTTTGCCTCAACTTTTCCAGCGACAAAATGAAACCAACCTAACCAAAATTATCGTGAACAACTCTTTGATGACGTTTATTTTAATTCTTTACAAACTCAATACACTCAACAATTGTGTACCTTTATGACGTAGGTATGACGCTAAAATCTATCATATTTGGAAGGCCGCAAATTTAATTTGACTCGAAAAATTGCTGGTGATGAAGAAAATGGTTTCATTTTTCTTGAATTGGTAAAAATAGTTATATATCATACAAGGGAAAAAATAGTAAATCTTAGCTCCAGGTTGTGTTGTCACCGTGAGCAGTATTTTTTTCTGTGACAGGAAAAAGGACTAATTAATATTAGAAAGATATAACATCATATTAAAATAAAAAAAATTATCGACGTGAAGTTTGAAGTTTTTAACAGGAATGACACCTGCGTTGCTGTCCATCTGTCAGTCCAATTCTATGATTTAATTTTCAAAAATTGCGAATTTAGTGGTAGTTAAGTATATTATTGGATCTTTCTTTTGTTTGATTCAGACCAGGAAAGAGTCCCTTTTATCCCGAAATCTATCCGCGAAGTGGAAAGATAAAAGGACTTTTCGTCTAAATTGTCGACATCGTCAAGTCTATTGTGGATTTTATCACCAATACAAATTCATCGCGAGCATCTCTGACCATTTGAATTCTCTTGGTTGTCATTTCGGCATTACGAATAATATTTTGTTCTGGGAAATTATTTATTCTAAAAACGACTGGAAAGGTTCGGTTCTTCTAGGTTGATATGAAGCTCACTCAATATCTGAATCTTCTATTCGAGACCATCGCTTTGCCATAAACCAAACGCATGCTTACCCTACGTAGCACTTTGACCGGAGCGTCGCTACTCCTACTTCTCCGCCCACTCACATTTTCGGAGGGCGTGACACTCCCTCCCTCGTCCAATGAGCAGCTCGCCGCGCCTGGAGAGGGCAGCGACATGGTGGTGGGGGAATCGAGGTCCAATCCGCTGCCGTTGAACGACAGAGAGGGGGAGAGCATCTCATGCTGGTGCATCTGCGATTGGAGGGAGTCGCCGTTAAGGGAGGACTGGTAGGGAGGCAACGAGTCCTGGTACATCTTGGAGAACTGGTTGTGGGAGAAGTTGCTGCGCGTTTCGTAGGGCCTGAAAGATGAGCATCATCAAGTTATCGGGGGAAATGGGGGGACTTTGAGGGCAGTCTAACCTGTTCAACATCTGATCCCCGAAAGTGTCGATGCTTTGATCAACTGGTTGCAGCTGTGACTCGGGAGTCATGGCTGGGGAGTGTATGCTGCTCGCTATGACGTCATCGCTGTCGTTTTCTTCGCTGGGTAGCCTCTGGAGGAAGGTGGACAAGTCTGTAGCGTCGGAGAAGCTCTCTAAAAGGGCGTTTTCTGCCGAGCTGGAAAAGGTCAAGGTGGCGGTGAACTGCAAGGGATCCACAACATTCCCAGTGACCAGATCCACCATCATGGATTCGTCGTAGGTGGAGTAGCCTGCAGGGAGGAGTTGATTCATGGGGTCCATTTTGGATTCGTAGAGGTCGAGGTCGCTTTCGTCCTTCATGACGATGCCGTAGGAGGCGTTCTGGAGGGTGGAGTATTGTTTAGGGGGGCTTTGGTTGCCGCTGATCGAGAGGTTGGCTAGGTCTTGGCCGGTGTCGCAGTCCATGGTTTGGTTGGAGAGGATGTAGTTGGAGGAGAAGCTGCCGTTCGCGTTGTAGTTGTTGCCATTGTTACCACCTTGAAGAAAATAATAACGTTACTCAAAGTCATCTACAATAAACGCTCTATCAAGAAATAAACATTTCATGCCACATATTGGTTAGAAACTTTCGACCTACGTTTCGATCTAGTTCGATGTGGTCAGATGGTGTCTCTTTACACGAATGTATTTTGACATGAGGATGAAATCGTAAGATCTTACGATCTAGACATGCTTTTAATGTAAACATCGTGCGTACAATTACACATTGAGAATGAAAAACGCAAGACTGATCAAGTCTAACCATAACTAGAACTTTTACCATCATTTTTTCAGTGAATTTTTGAAAAAAAAACAGGCTTTAAAATTCAGGGATATGCGACGAAATTTTGAGACTTAAGGCTTTGCAAACTGATGAGACTGAAAATGTTAGCCCTGATTCAGATGAAGAATATAGTGAATTTAAGGAGTGAACAATTCTAAAACATTGGTGATATTAGACATAGATTGATGAGGCCTTTACATATATATATATCGTCGTGACTTTTCTCAATTTAAAAAATTACTGCTGAATCAATTTATCGGTATTTTTTTTTTAATTTATGATTTCCATTAGCACATTCCAATGTATTGAAGAATATATATAGAACAGTGGTTATACCTGCGATTCTTGCCGTAAATGTATCATCACAAACAGAAGTTGGAATTCTCCTTCACAAATCAGAGGTAAGAACATGATGTTGATAATTTCGTTATTTTTCGATAATTTTTAGCGACTTATATTATATGTCATTTTCAAAATGTCCACAGCCAGATAATTGAAAAGACCACATCAAATTCGCAAAATAGAAGAGAAGAACTCCTTACTTTTGAGCGACTCGTAGAAGGGCGGCAGACTGCCCGTAGGCGGGCTGCTGGGGCCGTAGTTCCGCCTGCCGCCCCCTCCTGGGTTCATCCCGCCCCCGCCACCTCCGGTCCCGCCCCCCATGGCCCCGGTCCCGCCCCCACCCGACGCCCCGCCCCCAAAGCTGATGGACCCGCCTCCGCTGGACGGAGCGGCGTTCGATTGGCCGCCGCCGCCGCCGTTCTGCGTGCCGGAGGAGCCTCGGCCGTGGCCAGCGGCGGCGGATATTGTGGTGGGGAGTTTGCCTACGAGGGATCTGGAAAGAAGTTGAATGGAGTTTATTTCAATGAAATTTCCGGAAGAAATGTATTCTTGTTGTAAACAATAAGAGCTTAGTTTTTATTGAGCTGTAAATAATGGTTCCCTAACATTTGCTTACACGCACTATGCTGCGCGTTTAAAAACTTAGAAACAAAATTAATTTTTTCATGTTTTTTATTATGTAATCTTTTTCTACCAATAATGGTAGGTACATTTAGATTTCTTAATCAATACTTAAAACTAATGTTCGGTCTTGGTATACCAAATATATATTTTGGGAATTATTCTCAATAAATTTGGCAATATCGCGAAGTTGCAAGAGACAGAAGCTCTTGCACCTGTCCACCTACGTTTGGACATGCGTGACCTTATCAGCATTCTAAGACTATTCATCCTAGTGATAAGTTGTCGATTTTTAATGGGTATTTTTCGTCGCCCACGCATCGTGACTATTTTAGTGCGCTTCGCTTAATCGCTTCGCTTTCGGCTTTTCGCTGTTTTCCACAACTTCAGCCAGAGACCACCAGTTCCAGAACAAGAGCTAGCTCTTCCAGGGATCTTCAGGAGGACACCAAGTAAGTGGTTTCTGTCTCTGCTCGCTTTTTATCGCCGCCATCTTTTGCTGTTAATGAATAATTGGTTAGTTGCCGCCCTGCGGTATACAGAACATAATATCCAACCACTCGAGCTATCAATTACCCCTTCAGGGTACGCACATAATTGGTCCTTCGAGCCGGATAAGGCCCTTCAGGCATTTTTTGATTTTTCGATTTTCGAAAATTGAAATTAAATTCGTTAATTCAACGCGCATACTTGCTGGAATAATAGAATTCATATTCTCTGTTAAATTTCAATCGGTCTAGTTAAAATATCAAGTAAGTTCAACTACGTATTTTGTCTATCTCGACCGAACGCATCCTCTGGATAAAATCTCAAAATATTTGTTGTTTAATTAGCCATTTTTGATATTTGCTACAACGAACACCGCAAAACGCTTTCGCCGGTGTTGGTCCATCTCGAGCCATCCCTACTCATTTAGATTTGCTCGCTCTTTTCGTGCGCGAACTATAAGCGCGAACAGTCATAAAATTTTAGGCAGCGTGAACACCGTTTACAGTAGTTTTCACATCGAAAATCGTGTTTATGCATTGTTTATCAAATTATCAGCTGTTGACCGTTGGGATCTGAATTCGTTTTGTTTTGGTTCGCACGTTCATGCCTACCATTCAAAACCCGGACTTGCTCTTTCACATTTCTCTTGCGTATCGATATTTTTGTTTCATTTGATCATTATTTTTGATACCTTAAAAAATGTCAGATAAACTTCGAAGAGCCATCGCTTATAGAAATTCATCTTTGAATGAAATTCATATTCTGAGCAACATCGCTAATAAATGTAAATCTGATCGTAACTCGCACAGCACATTCAAAGTGCGGTATACTGAAATCGAGCAGCTACGCGAAGATTTTTCAAAGAATCATAATTTAATTATCGCAACAATGTTGCAAGATGCCGATACCGACGTTACAGATGAGGAATCTCTTAGGGAAGGTTTTATGACAGACTATTACTCGATAAAGGCTATCTATATTGATTTGTTCGACAATAATTCTCAGCCTCTACTTCGAAGTTCTTCAGGTTCAACCAACCCAAATATTCGTTTACCGAAAATTGAGTTAGTGAAATTTGATGGTAATTACACTACATTTGACAGTTATATAGATATGTATGATTCGTTAGTTCATAACAATGATTCGCTCTCTGAAGTTGAGAAATTCAATTATTTGATCTCGTCGCTACAGGGTGCTCCTTTGTCTCTGGTGCGTTCATTACCTATGACTGGGGCTAATTACCTCATCGCTTATCAGACTCTTGTAGATAGGTATTTGAACAAACGTTTGCGGGCACAGGCTCACTGGAATCAAATTGAAACTTCTCCGAAAATTTCTTCGGATAATCCAGGCGCCCTTCGTAAATTGATCGATACATTCAACGAAAATTTAGCTGCATTGGAAAAGATGAATTTCCCTGTTGATCAGTGGGATTTTATTCTCGTGATGATGATGTTGAAGAGACTTGACGCGCCAACCGCCACCAGATTTGAACATGAACATGGCTCTACTGATGTTCCCACTTACAAAAAATTAAAAGATTTCATAACTAAGCATTGTATTGTTTTAGATTCGCTTTCCCTTTCGCCATCTTTGCATAATAAAGCAAGGAATGATTTTTGTCGTAATCAAACTCAGCCTAGTCAATCTCCTCGCAAGTCGAATTCATTTTTTTCTAATGCGAACAGTAACACTTATAATAATTCCTCTTGTAGAGTTTGTAAGGAAGCTCATAATATTTATCAATGTCCGAAATTTTTGCAGAAAACGCCTTTGGAACGTTATCATATCTGTAAAAATAACAAGCTATGTATTAACTGTTTAAGCCATATGCACCTTTTTAAATCATGTAAATCAACTTCGTCGTGTGTTCACTGTTCCGCGAGGACACACCATTCGCTATTACATTTCACTCATTCAGATAAAAATTCTGGAAATTCGCAAATTCAGTCGACTGTTAATTCTAATAATACCGAAAATCCTTCGACATCTAGGAACAGTAGTAACTGTTCGGTTCAGGTGGTGGCGGCTGGTATGGTATCACAAAATTCGAGTGTGTTGTTATCAACCGCCATCATTGAAATTTTAGATTCTCGGGGAATTTATCAGAAATTCAGGTGCCTTCTGGACTCCGGGAGTATGTCTTCGTTCATTTCTCTCAAAGCAGCTAATTGTTTGTGTTTACCCAAAATTAATTCGACAGTTGAAATCAGTGGACTCGACTCCATGCAGACTTTTTCTAATCTGGGATGCGTGACCTTGACAATTCGACCTGTTAATAAAACAATGCCACTTTTCGTTTTCGACGCTATGATCTTGCCTAAGATTTGCAGTGATCTGCCATCCTCTCCCATCTCTATTGAGCCATGGGATCACATCGTCAATTTACCTTTGGCAGATAACCTTTTTCATATCCCCGGTAAGATAGATTTGCTATTAGGTGCCGATTTATTTTCTCAGATTCTGCTTGATGGTCGTGTCAGTGGTTCAGCAGGGACACCAAATGCACTTAATACGGTCTTTGGTTATGTCATAATGGGAAAGATTGACAGTTATAATAATGCTGATATTTCTTCATTCGTTTGTGCCTCGATGGATAATTCTTCATTAGAGGACACTCTCAAAAAATTTTGGGAATTGGAAAATGTTCCCGACGTGAAAGCCGTTTCTCCAGAGGAAGCTACATGCGAAAAATTATTCGCTCAGACTTTCTCACGCAATGAAAGTGGGCAATATATTGTTTCATACCCCTTTCGAGATTCTGTTTCCCCCACCTTTCCGGGTAGTCGATCATTGGCGGTCAATCGGTTTTATAATTTAGAGCGTCGACTTTTGAAACAGCCTGAAATCTACGCTCAGTATCTCGAATTCATGCGAGAATATCTATCATTGGGTCACATGGACGCGGTATCAGATAAGACTTCCGATTTCATGTATTATATTCCGCATCATGCAGTTTTGAAACCAGACAGCGCTTCGACGAAACTTCGCGTGGTGTTCAATGCCAGTGCCAAATCATCCCGGTTCTGTTCGCTTAATGATTGTCTCTTAACTGGGGGGAAATTACAACAAGATATTTGTCGGATCTTGTTACACTTTAGATTTTATAAATATGTTGTTTGTGCCGATGTCAAACAAATGTATAGGATGATACTTGTTTCTGCAGAGCAACGTGATCTTCAGAGAATTGTTTTTCGATTTTCTCCAAATGAAGAGATTCAAGATTATCGCTTGAATACCGTCACATACGGCATTCGCCCTTCTGCCTTTTTGGCTCTTCGTGTTCTGTTGCAACTTGCAGCAGATGAGGGCCAAGAGTTTCCGTTAGCTGCTCGAGCTATTAGGGAATCTACTTATGTAGATGATATCATTTCTGGACACTCCACCTTGGCAGGTGCTCAGAAATTAGTCTCTGAGCTCAGTACTCTTTTTGGTAAGGGAGGCTTTCAACTGCGCAAGTGGTGCAGCAATGAACCTTCTCTATTATCCGACTTTCCGGATACGCATTTAACTCTAAACCCTTTATGTTTCGAGGAGGACTCCAATGATACATGTTTGAAGATTTTAGGACTCCAATGGAATCCAGTTAGTGACTCATTTTCATTTGTCGTTCAACCTATTGATAGGCCGTGTACAAAACGTCATCTACTTTCAGAACTCGCCAGGGTGTTTGACCCAGTCGGATTTCTATCACCTGTCACTTTTCTAACAAAGCATTTGATTCAACGCTTGTGGATATCAGGACTTGATTGGGACGAACCCCCCACTCCTGATATTTTAAGAGTTTGGACACAATATAAGGAAGAATTACCCTTGTTGAACGCACTGCATATCCCTCGTCGTATCATTCCAAGTGAGTATTGTAACTATGAACTGCATGGATTTGGAGATGCTTCCGAAAAGGGATATGCCGCTGTCGTGTACATTCGTGCACTTGCTCCTGATCGTATATCCACATATTTTGTTTGCTCTAAGTCGAAGGTATCGCCACTTAAATGTATAAGTATTGCAAGACTGGAGCTATGTGCAGCTGTTCTTGTATCGAAGCTGATAGCATACGTGTCGAAAGTATATGAGGGTACTCTGAAATTCGACAACGTTTTTGGATGGTCAGATTCCAAGATTGTTCTTGACTGGGTTCATTCCAGTGCTTATCGATACAAAACTTTCGTTTCTAATAGAATAACCATTATTCAGGAAAGAATACCTCCTAGTTCCTGGTTTTATGTTGAGTCGAAATCAAATCCCGCAGATGCGGCTTCCAGAGGTATATTTCCCTCTGAACTTCTTGGTAACGACCTTTGGTTCCAAGGTCCACCGTTTTTGTGTGAGCCAGGGTGGACTTCCTTCGGTTCTTTGAAGGAGTTTTCTGGTTTCGCTCCCGAGGAGGAACGTACAATAGTCCTCACTGCTGTTCATCAGGCACCAAATTTTATAGATGAACTTTTAGCAAAGCACTCTTCGTTATCCAAGATACAACGTATTATTGTATACGTGAAAAGGTTTTGCTCACCCGCAGTTCGAAAGTGTTCAGGTGTATGTACGGCATCAGAATTACACTCCGCTTTATTGATTCTTGTAAAACGTACCCAAAATTTAGCTTTTCAGAAGGAACTCCACGAGAGAGTTTTTTCCAAACCCCTTCGTAAATTGAATGTTTTTATTGCTGAAGATGGTATTTTGCGGGTTGGTGGTCGTCTTAGATATTCAACGCTAAATTATGACGTCAAACATCCTATACTGCTTCCTCGTACCTCGATTCTAACGGACTTGTTGATAAGATTTTATCATTTGAAGTATCTTCACGCTGGTCTTCGCACTGTCCAATTTCTACTGAGCCAACAATTTTGGATTCTTTCCTCCAAAAGGGCAATTCGTTCTATTTTATGCAAATGCATAAATTGTTGGAGAACGAATCCACGTTCGTTTCAACCCCCAATGGGTGATCTACCCCCTGCTCGTATAGCTCAAGTAAAAGCATTTTTTCATACTGGCGTCGACTTTGCCGGCCCATTCTCTATTGTAACGCATCGATATCGGGGCGCTAAGACCTTCAAGGCCTATGTGTGCATTTTCGTCTGCTTTTCGACAAAAGCCATTCACATAGAGTTGGCGGGTGATCTCTCTTCAGATACATTCCTATCTGCCTTGCAAAGATTCATCGCGCGTCGCGGCCGTGTGGAGCACCTCTATAGCGACTGTGGAACGAATTTTGTTGGTGCCAACCGTCAACTCCAAGAACTTATGGCTTCGGCGGCTCACAAGGAGTTGCTAACATGGCATTTCAACCCTCCTTCGTCCCCTCATTTTGGAGGTTTATGGGAGGCAGGGGTGAAGTCCATCAAGACTCATTTGACTCATGTTATCGGCCATCAAATTTTGTCTTATGAGGAACTAAATACAGCTTTGGTATTGATAGAGTCAATATTAAATTCTCGGCCCTTAACTCAACACAGTTCAGATCCCAACGATATGTCTGCCTTGACTCCAGGGCATTTCTTAACTTTGGAGCCGCTCACCGCCTTGCCAACTCCTGATCTGACTACCATTCCTATTAATCGGTTGACGCGTTGGCAACTCCTACAGAGGCTGCACCACGATTTTTGGAAGAGGTACCGCCAGGAATATTTACATACCTTGCAGCAGAGAAGCAAGTGGCTTGATCCGTCTACTCCCATAGTTGAAGGGACCTTAGTTCTTATAAAAAACGATCTTGCTCCTCCGCAGCAATGGCCTCTCGCTAGAATCAAATCGTTATATCCAGGCGCTGATGGGGTACCTCGTGTGGCTGAAGTGGTAGATGCCAACGGTAAAACTTTGAAGCGTCCGCTGGTGAAGTTATGTGCCTTACCAGTCACGCCATAATTTCTTTATAAATATTTCAGATATTTTGTGTTCGTGTACGTGTTCGTCCTAACAAATATGAATCTAGAGTTAGATTTTTTTTTCTTTTCGCATAAATCAATTTTTTTTTTTGGAAAAGCAAGCCTTTAGCTTGCCTTTGGGGAGGCGGCATGTTCGGTCTTGGTATACCAAATATATATTTTGGGAATTATTCTCAATAAATTTGGCAATATCGCGAAGTTGCAAGAGACAGAAGCTCTTGCACCTGTCCACCTACGTTTGGACATGCGTGACCTTATCAGCATTCTAAGACTATTCATCCTAGTGATAAGTTGTCGATTTTTAATGGGTATTTTTCGTCGCCCACGCATCGTGACTATTTTAGTGCGCTTCGCTTAATCGCTTCGCTTTCGGCTTTTCGCTGTTTTCCACAACTTCAGCCAGAGACCACCAGTTCCAGAACAAGAGCTAGCTCTTCCAGGGATCTTCAGGAGGACACCAAGTAAGTGGTTTCTGTCTCTGCTCGCTTTTTATCGCCGCCATCTTTTGCTGTTAATGAATAATTGGTTAGTTGCCGCCCTGCGGTATACAGAACATAATATCCAACCACTCGAGCTATCAATTACCCCTTCAGGGTACGCACATAAAGCTACTCTTACATTAAAGCCTTTTCATAGAAAATGCTGGCAACTGAATTGCTGGCCTTTGTTGAACAATAATTGCGAATGCGTTTCGGCCTATTTTCACTGCAACGTTCAGGCTTGAAATATATAGAAATGTTTCTAATTTTGAAGGTCATTCACGCGCAACTTTGCATATTTTCAGTGATTTTAGATTTTGACAACTTAATTATCGTGTTGGTGGTTCTGTATAATGGTCGACTATAAAGTAGAAGAAGAAGAAGAATCATTTTAATCATCAATCAATTTTAACTAATAACTTATCAAATGTAGGCTCATCCATTCTCAGATAGTTTTTAAAAGCTTTCAAGTCATTACACTCTTTGAATTCATTAGTTATTCTTAAGTTTCCCATTGTTTTATTCAACCATGGTTTGTTCCTCCTGTTTTCCATGCGCCTTTTTATGTAAGTGGCAAGAGCAGCAGTAGTAGTAATTGCCATGAGTAAAACTTGTATTTTTCCTTTATCCATTTTCAAAATGAATTTCCACCTAATTTCGCTTGACTTGTTTATTTTGAAATATCAACAACTTATAATGTCAAAAATGATGTCAAATGTCAACGTCAATAGTTCGAAAACTCTGAAAAAGTCTTGGAAAATGTCGCAAATGTAAGAAGACTAGTTTCTCTAGTTTTTAATTTTGCGTGCAATTTATATTGCTTGCAATAAAGTTGCTGCAAAAAGGCTGTAATGTAAGAGTAGCTTTACAGATTTTCTTTTGATACATTTGCTGATGATGAAGGATTAATCCTTCGAAACATGTTTTTACTTATGTCCATGACCGTTGTTCATTATTGAAAATTTTTATGTGGTGGAGTTGTGACTGTAAGTTCTTTCACCCCTCCTGATTTATATCACCTCCACTGTAAGTTATTGATCACCTACGTTGTTTATTTTGTCATTCTTTCATTGTTGTATGTATGTATGAATAAAATCTATCTATCTATCCCTCTTTTTTAGCATATTTAGAGAATATTCTAGGAATCCCGACGACCAAAGAAACTGAATACCACCAACCTGACAGATATCAGCGGCTTGCCGACCTTCGCCCCCCGACTGCGCCGCTGCTCCCTAACCCGCTCCTCCTCTCGCTCGTCCTCGGTCTCGCCTCGCCGCCGCGGGATGTGGTAGTCGATTGGCTGCTCCTGCTCCGGCTCGCTGCGCGGTGTCTGGCTGGGGGGTAAACGCACCTCCACGTCCTCCTCCCGCTTGGAGGCGGCCGCGGGGGTGCGCTGGATGACGGAGAAGTGCCGCACAGGCGGCGGGGGGGCGGTAGAGGGGGGTGCAGGGGTGGACGGCAGGGAGGGTTTCTCCTGGAAAAGAAAGGACTACTTTTAGACGGAGAGCCAGAGCCAAAAAGATTCTCTGAATTTACTAAGCCTAGTTTTTTCACAGTTTATTACAGTGCATGGTTTTGTACACAAACATACTGCGGTCAGTCAAGAGAAACTGAGAACAGGTGTCTCTGGTGTACTATCGAAGTTGTCATTCCTATACAATGCAATGAATTTACTGATGCTGAAAATCATTATACACATTGTAGGTATATCGCATATGAATGAAATTTATGAAAGTCAGTCAGTTGACTGTGGGGACGGGAGCTGGTCAGTCAGACCCAATGTATGCAAAAAATAAATGAATTGCAATTCATTTTTACTACACTTCAAAATTTTTGTGACGATATTTGTTGTTATATCAATCAAGAAACATCGATTCAACGCCCGTCAGTCAGCAAAAAAAGCAATACAAATTTAGCGGGCGCGATCGCCGTTGCAGGCGGCGGCTCGCTCTTTTCTTCATGATTATTCAACGAAATCGATTGATTAGGCCATTTATTGATTATAATTCGGTAGATAATATTGAACTTTCAATATATTATAATATACCTTAAATGTCACTGCGTTTGAAGAATTTTCCTATCAGAGAGCCTAAACGAAAAATTCACTAGCTTGTAAGTGACAATTTGTATTGAAAAAGGTTTGAAGAAGATAAATAAAGGTACCTATATAGAAAAAATATCAAATTTTTACTTATCTTTGGACGTTTCGGAAGCGAATCTGCTCCCGTTTTCAACAAAACATTTTTTATGTTTTCAACGAATGCAATTCTATGACTTGTGACTGTGACTCCTCATTGGAAAACTGATGGTTGAACGAGGATTCTAGGTAGAATACTGATGAAATTTTGATTTATAGTATCTACGTTTGAGAGTTGAATAAAATCAAAACATAATTTTATAGTTTAATATATTTTCAACGTATATTCATCAAAATATCGATTTTTAGCGTATAAGGAAGGCATTTTGGATTTTTGCTAGTTTACAACAGTTCGTTTCGAACTGTGAATATGGCATACATGTGTAAAAACACTGATGGCATAAAAGGTTAACACACATGTTGAGCAATTGTTACGTTGAAAATAAATTAAATTTAAAGATAACGTTATGATTTTATGCAACCCTGAAACGTACTAATAAAATTTGATCAGTACGCTGGATTCCTCTTTTTACCAGCTTTACAAGGATGGGTCACAATAATAAGCTATATATGATTGCATTTGAAAGCAACATGGTGAGGGTGGTTTCAGCTACCCCTGAACTATATTTGAACTATATTTTTTATATTGCTTGAAAAATGTAGTTAAATACATTTCGTTGACGTAGACCGCCAGTTCTATAAGGAAAAAGGTGAGCCACTCAGGAGATCGAACTGGTGGAACTGGATTTGTCTGGAAGGTTCAATAATGGTCTACTAATAGCCTCAATCCATTCATCTCTCTCATTCTTAGGAATGCTAGAATCATTATTGAATGAGTAAACTTTCAATCCAAAATCGTCTTAAATAGATGAGCAGGTCAGGCCTTTACTCTAATTCTTCACAGCTGAATGAATATACAAAACATGTATGATTCCATTTGATTTGAATACTTGCTCAACTGATGAGAGCAAATTGAAATTATGAATTTATCATCACCCACAAACTCACCGATGAAAAGAAAAATCTTTAGTATTATTAATCGTGCATGGAATTCTTACACCAAAGAACAAAGCACTTCATATTTCCTAGGATCGCCAATCCTATAAACGAAATCCTAAAACGAAAAAATCAATCACCACCCAATTTTGTTATATTTTTTTTAAGCCGACCCCTGATGATATATATAAACAAAACACTTAAGCCAACGCCACCACCTTGTTCCGCCTATGAACAAAATGGATGCTAGGTTGATTTCGAAACCACGTCAAAGTCACGAACGACAGCTTAGGGGTTCCTGCGTATTGAGCAGAAGCGTTTTCAGACGAGCAACTGACCCTACATTTTCGGGTGGCTGCGATATGACTGACTATCTGGCAGTCTAGATAGAGTAAAGTCGGTGTAGAGAATTTATTACATGCAGTTAAAAAGTCTATATTACGACTTACATAATCAGTGTGCAATCATTTGACAGTGGATTTCATGACAAAAATAAGAAGAAAATCTTCCTTCAAGGATGTTACAGTCCTCCGAAATGGACATATCTTCATGGTTGATGAGATGCGCGGTAACATTAATTCATGAATTTTAGCGAAATTTTATCATGGGATGGGTCTGGGTCAAACATTTACCCTCGCATTTACCTGTTTGAAGGGGTACTCTTTCCGTTCGGCTCTGGTGAGTACGTGTCCTCTGCTGCCATAGGGTTTGTCACCCCCCAGAATGGAGGAGATGAATCGACGCGGTGGAGCATTTTCAGGCTTGGGGGAAGGCTCGGGGGTAGGGGATTTCGATTTCGGGCGGTCTTCTGGTTTCTTTTCCGAATCTGAAAATAAAAACAAAATTGTTTAAATTTCATATACTAGGTGTATCTTAATAATACCGAAAAAATTCAAGGAAATAAAGTTGATATAAACATGTGTCCTATAACTTGCTTCGTTTTCGAGATACAGAGGGTATTCAAATTTCCATGAAAAATCGTTTTTTTAATCATTACTCAATTGTCTTTCCATCAATTTCAATAAAAAGTTGTGGTCTCGAGAGCTTCTTCTGGTGCTATTACATTCATATTTTTATTAGATTGAATTATTGAAATAACAACGTTTTTATCATTTGTGTAATTTTTGTATCTAGCTTAATCTTTGAGAACACAATAAAAATTCGATTTGACTCCAAATCTTAATGTAATCAAGACCTCCAGAGTATACTCAATAATAACCCCAATTAAAATTATTTTGAAATTTTGGGGCTTTCTCAGTCTCCAACCATACTGAATTTTGGCACCATGGAAGCTTATACAGAAGGGTTCTACACAATTAACACTTCTAACTTCAACATCCTGTATTTCAAAAACGGAGCAAGTTATTTACTAGAATATCGCAAGGAATCTTCCCTTGATGATAATGAATTTCGATTTTTTCCACTAGAAATGAAATAAACCCGGAAAAAAATGTCTTGCGACACTAACTTCAACAGAATGTTGAGGAGATTCATCAATAATTCCTAAAATATAAACATAACGGTTTCTGCTGAATAATACCTATACAAGTAGTTTACATATAACCATGGCTTTTTCGTAATAAAACCCGTTTTTTTGTTCTTGAGGTCACTGTACCAGCAAACATTTCGAACTTTGTGACATCGACTCCAAATTAGGAGTGTCAACATATTTTTCAAATCCAAATCTGAGATGATAAATATTGAAATGGTCAAGTAGTTGAGACGATGGAAACCTTCACAAATGTTTGAATCAATATTTGACAGTGACCACAGATCGTCTTTGAAAATACTTATACAGTTAGGTACTACCGAGGGTACTACATAATGAAAAGTAAATAAGTATTTTCAGTACTAATCCACGGTGAATAATATTATGTAATATGAAGTGAAACATATTTTAAACGATTCTACTCAAATTATAATAATATAATATGTCGTCTGTTCAATAACTTTGGTGGAAATTTTTTATTGTTTATGCAGTGTTTTCAGTTACATAAGAGAGTTTACTGGAAATTTGTGAACTTATAGTTTTGCCACGTTTTTTACCGGTGCAAAAATTTTAACAATAAACATAAACATTGTCGAGATTCGAGAAAAGCGAATACGAAATAAGTACATTACTAACTGTTTTGAAAACGATGAATTTGCACTATGGGAGTGCCTCCATAATAAATGACATTGGCATTCCTTACTATTTAATCAATAAATAATTCTTCCCTGTTCAGAGTCGATTAATCATACTCACAGTAATTAAGTAGAATTTCCACATTAATTGGAAAAATTTTATGTTGCTAAACATGATATTCTAGCTATAACATATTATAATATATACAGGGTGGGTCACGGTACGGTGGATAGTACCTTAGACATTTGCGGATCATTCTGAAAATTTGGTTAGTCAAGTTCTCAAGTAGTTGCTCTATATATTTTCAGCTATGCAGCGTTGCCGCTTATAACTTTTAGAATCACAGATTTCGGGTGATCCGAATTGTGAATCATGAACCACTCTGTATTTGTTCCAATTGAATGTGAGTCTCGATGTGAGTAGATTGTAAATCAAAAGTCAAGAATCATGAAAGCCGTTTTGATCGATCCTGATTTTGAACACCCTCTAAATCTCAAAATCTCTGTAATCATTTCCGCTAGACTCCAAGATGCATTGAAGAAATCAGCTCTTCAGGGAGAATCTAAAAATTCCAGGTAATACAGGGTGTTCTATTTGAAATATCAAATTTGCCACTACTTTCTGGCATAAGTGGCAACGGTGCATTGCTGAAAATATTTTAGATATTTCATAAAAAATCTTCGAAATTTTCATTATTTCCACGTATACAAAGATTTATACGACGAAAAAAATTAAAATGTGATCTCAGCTATTTCTTGTTGTTTTATTATAAATATTTGTGTACGTGAAAATGATGATCATTTCCATGTTGATTGATGCTTCAAGTAACTAAAATTCAAATTTTGTCGAAACCATGAGGGATCAAATTTTTCCAAGAGTTTCAAGAGAGAAAAAATCAAGCTCTACGCCTATAGAAGGATATTGATATTTATCATAACCATTATATGGGTTTCATTGCCCAATAAAGCTTTGCTAACATACCAAACTTGGGTAAAATCTCATCAGTCGTTTCAAACTTATGAAGCAAACAGACTTGAAAATTATAACATCAGAGCCGTCTTAGCGCCCAAACTACCAAACTACGGAAATTTGTATACTGAAATAAGTGTCCTTACCTATCTAGTGTTTTAGTCTGAGGAATATGTCCTAAGTTTCTGTATAGATCTTTTAGGGACACCCTGTTTAACTACCGATAATGAATGGTGCTTATTCTTTCAAGAAGTAAAAATGACGAGAGCCTGATTTAATTGTTTACGAAGCATTCCCAAAACATAGAGGACTGACGCCATGCTTTTTAGCGGAATAGTCAAAACAGCTCCCTGACCAAACTCGAATTTCATATATTGTTTTGCAAAATATATTTACTTATCAGATAACACGAATCTCAACATATCACGGAATGGGAAACCTGCGTCGAATTTATGCTCTTTTATTAAAAATATGATACACTTGTTTTTCTTAATTCGCGTTTTTTCCAAAAATTCTTACGTTTACCTTGACACCAGGTTGAATATGAGTACGATAAAAACATATCACATGCATACCAGTTTTTCTCACATATAAATATCAATCGTTTATATTAATGATCTTTATTGTTTCATTTCGGCTCGGATGAGGTTATTATTACCTATCTCTTAGCCAGATCTTATTTCGCCATTAAAATTATTGTTATTAACGTCACGTGTTTCGATCTGCCAATGGAACAAAAAAGTTCGATGTCCTATACTGATTCTTCAGCCTTGAAATCACAATTATTTGAATACCCGTCAATTTTTTTTGAGGAAAGAAAACCTCTTATATCCATCTACGTGGCCAGCTGAGTCTCTTACGATGTTCGATCAATTAGAGAATGAAAAGATAATTTCGTGGAAATGAAAGAATAAATATAGGTAAAGTCTTTCTATTACTAATTGAACCAGCATAAAAACATGGGCAGTGCCATTCTTTTTGAGCTCGCCGACTTGCCATAGGCGTACGCAATTTTCAACTAATTATTTTCGTTGTTTATCAATGAAATTTTTCGTTCTTTCCTTTATATCTGAAAGTGAGAGGGCTATATAGCTCAGATTTTTCAAAATCATAGTGATGAGCTCCATAATACGCAACTTTGCCTCCATTTAATCTCCTCTATATTTCTTACCGTTTCCGAGATCCCCATGCATCTACTGGAATTTCACTCAACCGGTATACGATATTTCCGATATTACATGGATTTGCAAAAATTATATCGAAATGAGGAAAACACTCACCTGCACTATACATATATCGCGAATACACATCAAACATCTTAGTCGCTTTCGCTATCTTCGGACGTAGATTCGTTGTTGGGTGAATAATAATGGGACTCATGATGGAGGTTGAAAGATAATATTTTTTTTCTTCGTTCATGACGTGAGCAATACAGTTTTTCCAAATATCAGTAGTACTTAATTCATCCACCACTCTCCTTATATTGTCTAGCACTGTTGCACTCAATGTTGGTGACTGGTTACGTTTCCGTAGACTTCCTTTCAATGTAGACCAAACCATTTCAATTGGATTGAATATACAATAATAAGGAGGAAGTCGTAGAAGAATATGACCACTTGTCTCGCACAATGAATCTATCACATATTCTTTCTTGAAATTTCTTCTTTTCATTTCCTCCAGTAATACCTTTTTTGTAGGGAGTTTTTCTGGAATATGCATATTATGATTCTTCATGAAATCTACAATATATCCGCCTTTTTCGTATTACTGTTAGGAATTTTGGTCAATAAACGAGAATGATAAGATGCGTTGTCCATAACAATAACAGAGTTCGGTGGAATATTTGGAAGAAGCTGCTCATTGAACCACTTTTCAAATAGATTCGCAGTCATATCTTCATGGTAGTCAGCTGATGATTGTTTTATATTCTTAGCCGACAAGAGCAACGCGTTAGGAATGACCATCAACACTTCCTGCATGCAAAATTATCACTCGTTTTCCCCTTGAACAAGGTGTATTCAAATTGCATTGCTTAGTATCATCTACCCAGCCATATTTCACAACATCATGCGTGTCAAACCATGTTTCATCCAGATACACTATATGTCTATTGGATTCACGATAGCCTCTTATCTGCCTTAGATATTCTTGCCGATGTTCTACAATTCTTCTCGATTCCATTATAATCATACGGTTATTAATTTTCTTGTGCTTGAAACCACATGACATTATAACACCCCGTAGAGTTTCCAAACACTTATTATTATAATCCGGATAATCAAGTAATTTTTCTTTAATCATTTCCAAGGTGGGTACTTTGTTGTCTTCATAGAAACTGTAGATTATTCGCCTGATAACTTCCTTCGTAGCCTCATCAATTTTTGAAAACTTGCTATTCCTTTGTTTACGTTTTATGGAGTGGTCTATGACATCCCCTGTTTTGATAACACGGAAAACTGTTGAACGAGCTAGTTTGGTTAATTCGCAAATCCTTAATACAATATCGTTCTGCGATGAATAACAATTTTCACTCATCAAACATTCGTAGATATTCAAAATAATACGCTGACTTTGAATATGTAAATCCTTGTTTTCGATACCATTATCCCTGTTAACTAACACTAATTCTCCACCTTGAATATTGTTTTCGATACCATTATCCCTGTCAACTAACACTGATTCTGCACCTTGAATATCACCATTATTTGAAGCGTTTCCAGTTTCGAAAGGTC